AAGATATAACTCTCGCCATTGAACTAGCTTACCAGTGGAATATTATCGGCCAGAAGAAAACAAAAACTTTAAACTTCCACAAATATTTTCTTTAAAAAATACTAGCTCAATGCAACTGAACTACAATAAGCACCTGCTCGGTTATTTGCCTCTCACTTATGCTAAACACATAGTACCTTAGTTACCATCAGCTTACATCTCCATTAGAGACAGTTTTCCGCACAGATTCGGACACATACGAAGACGATGTGACGATGTTGATTGGACAGTAACAATCAGTAATATGATAATTGCCGTAATATTTGCTTGTTTACAGAATTTTCCTCAAAGACAAACCTAAAACCGCCTCCATTTTAATCTGCGATAAATACTACCTCTTAATTTCCCCGAAACGATACAAATTGTTCACTATCTTGACATAAAACCACTCAGAACGCCATCAGTATTATCGTCCTTCACACAAAACCACTCAGAACGCTATCAGTATTATCGTCCTTGACATAAAACCACTCAGAACGCCATCAGTATTATCGTCCTTGACCTCGACCACAGTTCCTTTCCGAGAAGCGAGGATATACATTTCGTTGAACAGGCCACTGATGCATGGATACTTTATTGTATATCAGCATTTATAGAAATCATACTGAATTTACCTTCAACATCAATCAACCTGGTGAATATATATTGTATCAACGCTTAGATATCGTAAATTTTTAACATGTGGATCTTCATTTTCAATCCAATATCATCGATAACATCATAGTCTTAAAAACTTGAATGCTATAAGGAGGAATGTAGCACCCTTCATACAACCTACCACACGTAACAACTATATCTCACAAAGGTACTCAACAAATATAAAATGTCAATTTATGGTAATGAATAAGTCGTTCACCAGTTTGATGACATGGTCTATTGCAGGTAAAGTGTTGTTCAACACAAAAGAATCACAAAAACGTTCCAACTATCGTTACATTATAATTTCTTAAATAAATTCCTGTAGTCAATTCTGGTATACAGCTGAAACAGCAAATCAGTTCCTTCATGTATGAAAATGCTAAGTATGCATTATAGATATAATACGGTTCATTATTTTAAATAAGTTAATTTATATTTAAATCTTACGATAAGGTATAGACCAAGCATCTGTTGAGGCATGTATCCCACATGTTATGAGAGTATTTCTGCTAAACATTAACACGATTTAATTATGACGTATTATGTAAAGTGTGTCATCTTTATACTAAGATAATAATATATTCACGATTTAAATAATTCTTTCAATTACAATTTTGCTGCGGAAAGCATTTTCTTTTATAATATTCCAACAGTGGAAATAAGTATTACCATTTGATCATTCTTGATGCTACAAAATCACCATTCAACGCTTTCTGTAGCTAATTTTATTAACATAGTGTTCTACATAGTGTTAAACATTGCAAAAGAGATGAATATTTCATAGATAAGGCGGAATATTGAAAAATAAAATTGAAAAAAAACACTAGATATTTCTGTGGTCTAGAGTCAAGAAATTGTACTTGTAAAATTATTCCAAGTATTGATAAAGATGATGGAAAGGTAATTTCTAGTCAAAATGAAATTCTTAAAGAAACTGAAAATTATTATAAATCATTATATGAAGAAAATAGATCATTACAAAACGTTAACCTGGAGCTTCTTTTGGAATCCTACAATATACCTAAACTGTCTCCACAGGAATCTTTGAATATCGACCGTCCAATTACACTTATTGAATTATCAAATACTCTTTTGAAAATGAAAAATAATAAAAGCCCAGGTTCTGATGATTTCACTGTTGAGTTTTTTAAAATGTTTTGGCAAAATTTAGGGCACTTTATTTCAAGATCACTTAACTATAGCTTCAGTATTTCAGAACTTTCAATAACACAGAAACAAGGTATAATAACTTGTATTCCAAAAGGTAATAAAACCACGTAATAAATTAACTAACTGGAGACCTATAACTTTATTGAACATAATCTACAAACTCGCTTCTGGTACAATTGCTGAGAGATTCAAAACTGTTATAAGTAATAACCAAACCGGTTTTATTCCTGGCAGATATATTGGTGAAAATACACGGTTGATTTATGATGTAATGAAACACACCGAAGACAACAATATTCCTGGCCTTTTACTTTTAATTGATTTCGAAAAAGCATTTGACTCTGTTTCCTGGAATTTCATTACAAAGACTTTGAATCTTTTTAAATTCCGCCCTAACATGATTAAATGGATTAAACTTTTTCAGAATAATACTAAATCAGCAATAAATATAGGGGGGAATTTGTCAAATTTCTTCAACATTGATCGCGGTTGTCGTCAGGGGGATCCGGTTTCATCTTATATTTTTATTTCGTGTGCAGAGATTTTATCAATAATTCTAAGAAATAACTCTAACATCAAAGGAATTACTGTAAGAGAAAAAGAAATACTTCTATCACAGTTTGCTGATGACACTTCTGTTATATTGGATGAATCCAAAAAGTCTTTAGATGAAACATTAAACAGTCTTACATTCTTTGCAAATATTTCAGGTTTAAAAATGAACTTCTCCAGGACTCAGGTAGTATAGATTGGCAGCAAAAAATACAGTGAAGATACTTATAATACCAATTTAAACTTAAAATGGGGGTGTACTAACTTTAATCTTTTGGGCATAGAATATGATGTAGATTTACATAAAATTACGAAACTTAATTTTGACAAAAAAACTTGCAAAGCTTAAATCGTTAATATCAGTGTGGCGCAAACGAATACTTACACCAATTGGTAGAATTACTGTTATAAAAACTTTATTGATACCTCAGTTCAATCATCTGTTTCTATCTCTTCCCAATCCTGATGACTTGTATATGAAAAAAATCAATACTTTATTTTATGATTATCTATGGAATGGTAAACCTGATAAAATCAAAAGAGATGTTATAATTAAAAACTATTTGGAAGGGGGACCAAAACGTATTCGACATAGAAAAAAGAACTGTTTTACCTAGTATTCCCATTAACTTAAAACTTACTTTGAAAGACAAAAAGGAGCTCAAAAAAATTACAAAACAATTAGTAAAACTTCTACTACACCAAAATCTGAAATAAATGGAACACTTCATTAAATTTGAGAGAATTTACATGGAACAACATTTATTCAGCTCCTTTTAACACAACATCCAACTCCAAACTTCAATGGCTGCAGTATAGAATTAATCATAGAAACCTTGTTACAAATACATTCTTATTCAAAATTGGAAAAATTGTAAATAAACACAATAAATTTGACATTGATAACCTGATACTACTTATTATAAAACATTACATATATAAGTCCAGATGTCTTGAACAACAACTTAATTTTTAATAGTGTTAAAAGTCACATTAAAGTTGAGTTAAAAGCACACCAAATTCTTTTATCTAAATGTAAATTAAAAAATAAGGCTCAATTAAGAGCACAAATCCAACAGTGGTTAGATTTTAAAGTTAATAGTTAGTATTCGAGTGAGATACTTTTATCTAATATTTATTCTATTAATCTACCTTGGCACAAAAGTATGCCTTTGTCTTTTAACACTTGTATTCTCTATGTATTATATATTCTTTACATTATCAGAACCTAGACTTATTTTGTCTATTGTACCTGTTGGTGTAATTAGTGTGCTATTCTTATGCTGTACAATATGTTTTTCTCCATTTGTTCCATGTCTTATGTAAATGTGATTTGTTTTGAAAATGTGAAAATGAATAAGATATAAATTTTAAAAAAAAAAGAAATTTGTTTCCTATTGTGTTTCTGAGAGTTGTCTCGCCTCACATCTTATCTTAGAAAATGTCTCGTATTATTGATTTGACATTATCGTTGGATAGTTTTACCATTTGTGGTTCAGTAAGAGACTTGGATTTGACAGAACTCTCAATCGAAAGTGATCTACAGTGTCAAACCGAAGTCTACATTATGAATTTCAGTAATTTATGAAATTAAGCATTGTAGTTTCTAAAAACAAAAAGATGATTTTCATGATTTAATAATTTTGCTAAAATCCATAGCTTTTCTTTTCTTGTCCCTTCCTTTAACCCCGGAATGGCTATATCGGTAGAATTATTGTTCACATGTTGGTATTTTCTTGCTTTTCAGTAAAAAATGCCAGCGAATTAAAATGACATATAATCATATCAATAAGGATATGTTCACGCGACATTGAGTTCTGTAACCCTCCTCACATTCAATAGAACAGTGTTTTATGCACTCCTATAATGACTCAAAGTAGGAAGTGTGTGTCCAACGTCGATATATCATTTGACTGGATTATCCAGTAAAGATGTAAGGTTTATGCAAACTGCATCAAAGAAGAAAATACGAACATATCAACAAAATCATAATCCAAACTCGAATTCAACAAGACTAGGGCAAACTATGAAGAAAGTATATACATGGAAAAGTACAAGGAGAATATGACCAGATGTTCCGAAATAGTACGATAGTAGAATATTGGTCAATGAGATCACTATGAGAACCGTGAAAATTCTCCACTATTTTCATCAACCTGTATCTTTTGAAAAAAAAGTTTGTCAGATGACGACTTCTTGCACAAAAATCGTGATACAAGCCCTAGAATATCGAATCGGCAGAGACATGTAAACACCATAGCTGGGAATGCATGAATGTTGCTATGTAAACAGTGTTGATGATAAAAAGACTTCTTGAACTTTCATTCTGTACCTTTACGGTTAATGAAATAAAACAAACTAGCAACTGTTACACCACGAGGATAATAAAGCCCTCCTTGTAGGATTTCACTTCTATAAATAATCATCCAACGATTGTTTTAATATATGGCAGGTTTAAACAGTTATCTGATCTGCTCTCTTTATACTTTTGAGCTACTTACAAAACAACAACACGAATTTCACTTTTTTCCTTTAATACAACACTAATCATTTTCGACCAGTGTATTTTGCACATTCGGGAACGTTAACAGGGTAATCACAAGCACGAATGTTTTCATTGAAAGCAAGGCCTGGGGGGCAAGGTTCGTGGAAGGCTAAGCCAAAGGCACATTGGTAGAAATATCCACAGTCTTGGTGATCAAGAAAGTATCCGTCTGTCTTTCCAAGACAGATATTGTGGCTGTTCGTCACTGCAAAAAAGACACATACAACCATTACACGCGTTCTCTGTTATCACATGAACAACTACACGTGGTTAGGAACCTTAATACGGAATGGCGTGCTTACTTTACGTAATTATGGTACGTCTATCAGAGACAGAACATAACCCAGCAAAAAGGAATTTGTAAACATTTTATTGAATAAATTACAATCGTGATGTCAAAGCAACACTTCATGTGGTCGCGTTTATCTCCCTGATCCCGAGCATTTTGGCACGTTATGAGGATAGTCACAAATGAAGGATTCGTCGTTGAACACAGTTCCAGGGGAACATGTCTCGTGGAATTGCAAACCTGCTGCACATTCATAGAAATGTGAACAGTCATTGGGATCGGCGTGAATACCATCGGCCTTCCCGGTGCAGAATTTTGCTGAAAAGCAGAGCCATATTGTTAGCGATTGAAGCAAACATAGCTTTGCGTGACGTATAGCTATAACACATCATCAAGGCACAATATCTGACGCAACATAAACAGCGCTAGACAGCCAACTAAATGTAAATAAACGGCAGACTTTCACAGTTAACTCTACATAAACAATGTATTGTAGCATTGTACACACAATTCCTCATAACAAACAACATCTGACAGCGATAAAAACAAGCAATATCTGGCAAGATTGCACAGTCAACTACACATAGACAATGTGTAATAGAACTGCACAGACAACTTCACACAAACAAACAAAAAACTGACAGCACTGCACATGCAACTCCTCAGAAAAAAAAATATATGATAGAACAACACAACCAACTCCACAGTTGCACCAATATCTAGCGATAACACATAGTACATTTAAATTAACAAACAATATTTGACAGCGCTGCACTGGCAACCCCATATAGATAATATCCACGGTCAAATCAACATTAAGCAATGTATAATAGCACTACACTGACAACTTCATAGAAACGAAAAATATTTGAAAGCGTTACAAAAGCACAGTTAGAAACAATATAGGACAGTGCTGCACATAAAGTGATAAGAAACAATGTCTACTTCACACCAGCAAACAATTGGCACGTCTTCACTGCAACGCCAAAGTGACATACAACTCGAATACAAACGAATGCACAGCCAACTCCAAGGTAACACCAATATCTGACTGCACTGCACGATCAACTCCACATAAACACACATATGTAAACATCAGGATTTTTAGTAAGAGCGCAAACATTTGAACCAGTGGAAAAGTAACATTTACTATATCTGTAAGTTCTACACAAACAACTTCACATTAGAGTACGAGGAAGTTGATAGACGGAAACGCAATGTCCTAGAGTCAGATAGTCTTTGACAGTACCATGTACATGTTACTTTACAAGCAAACAGTGTAAACATGGTGTCTGACAGTCGGATAGTCACCAACAGTACAATGTACATATTACTTGACAAGAAAACAGTGTAAACATTGTGTCTAACAGTCAGATAGTCACCAACAGTACAATGTGCATATTACTTGACAAGAAAACAGTGTAAACATTGTGTCTTACAGTCAGATAATCACCACCAGTACAATGTACATATTATTTTACAAGCAAACAGTGTAAACATTGTGTCTAACAGTCAGATAGTCACCACCAGTACAATGTACATATTATTTTGCAAGTAAACAGTGTAAACATTGTGTCTAACAGTCAGATAGTCACCACCAGTCCAATGTACATATTATTTTGCAAGTAAACAGTGTAAACATTGTGTCTAACAGTCAGATAGTCACCAACAGTACAATGTACATATTATTTTACAAGCAAACAGTGTAAACATTGTGTCTAACAGTCAGATAGTCACCACCAGTACAATGTACATATTATTTTACAAGCAAACAGTGTAAACATTGTGTCTAACAGTCGGATACAGTACAATGCATATATTGTTTACAGGCACAATCAAAGCGATAGCGTTTTACAGGCGCTTAAAGTGTTTTACATGCTGTGACACATATGATGTTAAACAACCGTATATATATTGTTACACTCGCACAAACACACAAACAAATCACTATGTTTTTACAATGTGCTTTCTTAGTATTTAACAAATACACGTGTATGATAGTTTCAAGACTTATCCAAAGAATACACATGTGTTTAAAACATTACATTAAGACACTTGATATATATATATCAAAACTGTGGACAGATACTACAACTGAAAATATTAAGACTGTAAGTATCTTGTCATAACTTAATCCTGTGATTTTTTTCTCGTTCACGAGGTTTATATCGGCAATGTGCTGGCTGAGAAGCTGGCGTTGTTGGCTGTGTGCTGAGGAAGTTATTTAAGCAACATTTACAGAGTAAACGGCAAAAGAAGTTAGTAAAGCAAGGCAGACATTGCTAATATGTTACATCAACTATTGTATTATCGTGTTACCATAACATACACGTTATCCTTGTAGCAAATTACATGTGATGTCATGTATATTTGTAGTCATTTCAATCAGATTTTTTCACAAGCATCAGACTTATTCACATATATCAAACTTATTCACGATTATCAGACTTATTCACGAAAAACAGAAGTATTCACATCAATCAGACTTTCTTGTATGTAACAAAATCATTGACGTTTGTCAAACTTATTCCTACACATATTCATTATTTCCGTGGAAAGAGGGAATATCAGACTTATTACCGTGGACTGTCATTTAGAGAACATATGTAATGGAGAATCAATTATATATTTCATGGGGCTATTACGCATTAGCATTCCTTTAGCTTTACATCGAATGATATGCAACTTAGACTTACAGACTGTCTTTCAGCAAATCATGTAAATTTGACTGTTATACTCAACAACATAATGCACGTGGTCTGTCAAACTTTGCATTTGAAATGTTCTCTTAAATTGGCATACACGTCATCATTCAATATGTCACTCAAAACTGTCATATATATATATATGCTGTAGCATGCACGATGTCTGTTAACGTACCAGGCACGTGAGCTTTGGATTAAACCTATCCAATTCGTAGACTGGAAATGATACCTATCGTGCATTAGTCAGGGTGTCGCTCGTACTTACTAATATATCTAAGCAGGGTGTCGCTCGTACTTACTAATATATCTAAGCGGGGTGTCGCTCGTGATTACTAATATATCTAAGCGGGGTGTCGCTCGGACTTACTAATATATCTAAGCAGAGTGTCGCTCGTACTTACTGATATATCTAAGCGGGGTGTCGCTCGTACTTACTTATATCTCAAAGCGGGGTGTCGCTCGTACTTACTAATATATCTAAGCGGGGTGTCGCTCTTAGTTACTAATATATCTAAGCAGAGTGTCGCTCGTACTTACGATATATCTAAGCGGGGTGTCGCTCGTACTTACTAATATATCTAAGCAGAGTGTCGCTCGTACTTACTGATATATCTAAGCGGGGTGTCGCTCGGACTTAATAATATATCTAAGCGGGGTGTCGCTCTTAGTTACTAATATATCTAAGCGGGGTGTCGCTCGGACTTACGTATACATCTAAGCAGGGTGTCGTTCGGACTTATTAATATATATAAGCGGGGTGTCGTTCGTGATTACTGATATATCTAAGCGGGGTGTCGCTCGTACTAACTAATATATATAAGCGGGGTGTCGCACGTACTTACTAATATATCTAAGCGGGGTGTCGCTCGTACTTACTGATATATCTAAGCGGGGTGTCGCTCGTGTTTATTAATATATCTAAGCGGGGTGTCGCTCGTAGTTACCATTAGGTCAACTAGGTGTATCGTTCTTTTAACTGAGCTTACCATTTGAATAAGACGTTGTCTTTTTTCATGTGTAGTTTACCTTCTTGAGTGGTTGAAGTCGAAGAAGGTCGTTCCACGTTATGTTACTAAAGCAGCAATTTTAGAATATTATGAAGCAAAAAGCTTGACGTGAAAACTTTTTAAACAAAAACCAAACATCAGCAACATAGAACAGCGCGATTCTTTTAATTGCTACCCACGGAATCAACCCCCTTAAAGCATTGTAGCTTGATATACTGTTGTCGACGATATATAAAACTATGTTCATTGCATGTCCCGAATGCACTCCATGCCTCCTTCACTTTTACATTTACAAGAATATATCACAGTTTTAAAACTGGTCAGCTCTATAGGCATACAACACAAGTCAACATTTGTTGTTTAAAACACTTAAAACGGAGGACCAGGAATGGATTAAAGTGTAGCGACATTTATAACGTGTGCGTGCATGTTGATAAGTAAGATGTTATGAGTTAAGACCTATAAGTATGCGAGAATGTCTGACAAGATTAGATAATACAATATTACATGTAAACTTAATAATGAGAAAGATGTGATTGTGAAATACTAAAAAAAAAGATGGTTTGTGTAACGTGTGATAGTCCTCGTGCGCAGGAAAAGCACGTTGTTTGTACAACTGTGTTAGGAATGACATTTTGAATTACATTTCTTCTGATATCTTCAAAATATGGAAACTGCCCATGCAATACTTAATGCAAGGAAAAAAACATCTGCAAATGGTACTCTTCGGTAATATATTAATGAAATACAATGACGTAACCACGTTACAAACACTTTATCCACAGCTCTAAATACAGACCACTGTGGTAAGAATTCCAGCAAGGTCTGTCTAATGGTCTTGATTATAACTGAAAGATTTTCTCAACTTGTTCAGACAAGCACTTTTTACGTATTTCATCTGACTAAAGCCTACAGTAGAATATTTTTCATACCAGATATTCGAAACACCTGGCTGACAAAATAACACAAAGTAGCACGCCATTCCGTCCTATACATTTAGTACGAAGTGTAGTCTAACTTCTCGTCAATAACAACGCTACGCTTAACAAGACAAACTTGGTGATATAAAGGTACCGAACCAGATCCTTGAGAATCTTATGTTTTACCTGGCGCGTTGGTTTGACCCGGTGCGCTGGTTTGTGGCGCGTTGGTTGGAGCTGGTGCGTTGGTTGCCGGAGGATTAGTAGCAACTGGTTGTGGTGGCATCGTCGTGACTGGTGCATTTGTAGGAGACATCGTTGTCATGGATACGACTGGCTTCTGTGTCAATGCAGGTGGCTGTGAGGAAGGTGGCATACTGGCTTTGCATTGGACATTTCTTGGCCAATCACAAAACAAGGTGTTCGGGTTAAATTGAAGGCCTGATGTACACGCCACTTCAAACGCAGCCCCACCAGCACAGATGTAGTACATTGAGCAATCAGTTGGACTAGGGTAAAAACCAGTAGTCTGAGAGGCACAGTTGAAGTGATTTGTAGTGGTTACCGTATGATGGGCGCTAGGTGCTGTTAAAAGTAACATCAAAAGCAAGCATTTGGGGGGCGAGTCGATTAGCTTAGCAACATTGACCTTTTGTGCAAATTGTACAAATTAAAAATAAGGCAAGCAAGCCAGCACAACACACCATATCAGGAAACAGAGACTTTAAGTTAATGCTTCTTACTTTTTCCAATAATAGGTGATGCGTGTATAACTTTCGTTGGTTCTCTTCCAGGGGAGAATTATCATTTTAAACATACCTTTAACATCTTGTTGACGCACGTATGGAGTTATTGGTTTCCAAATATATGTATGATAACTAATATATCATTTTATTTACGTACTTAAAATCAGTAACGAAGTTGTTTGCAACATAGGCATTGTACTATATGTACAGACATACCGGTTGTAGAGGCTTGAGGGGCTGGGGCGTTTGTTTGGGGCGCATTAGTGACTGGAGCGTTTGTCTGGGGTGCACCAGTGACTGGAGCGTTTGTTTGGGGCGCAACGGTGACTGGAGCGTTTGTTTGAGCAGGAGCGTTAGTTGCCACAGGCTTTTGTGTAGTGACCGGTGCGCTTGTTACTGGGCTGAAAAATAACTTTAAGAATGAATTTTAATATGGTCCCAGCACTTGTCTATATTGATGACAGGAAAGGAAAATAAAAAAAAAAAAGAAAGAAAAGATTTGCGCTATCTAGACGTTATTTTTTTCAGCAATATTCCACGTACTACTTATAGCTCAACATAACTCATCTCCACAATTCTTCTATAATACTGTCAGTTCTTGTTCCATCGCTTAAGGATTGATTTCCGGAGTCGCAGTTGGAGTTAAATGGAAATAACATTCACACTTAATCATGCTGAATATTCTATAATGAAAACATACTCTTTTTTATGTTACCGTAGGTTTGCTCTTTTTATTCAGGTCTGGTCCACATTTCTTTGCTATATTTCACACCTATATTCTCATATCTTGCCAAAGACAGTTCGTACAACAGGGAATTGAAATTTGTTTAATGGTTTGAATGAAGAACGTTTTTAATAGCTTTTTCTAGAATTGGATGTTTAAAAAAACTGGGATAAGAATTTTGTTCTAGTCAAACTCCACTAACCATTAATCCTACTATGCAACAATATCGTTGTTATTTCGATAAATATTTCGTTACTGTATGGAAACAGTAGGAATTTCAGACGTGCCTCTATACTGTCTAGTTCTTTGTCCTAAGGGGACCTGATTTTACTGGAGGATGTTTCAGATCAAAGCTGGCTAAAGTTCACTGGCTGATATGTCAGGAACTTAATGCTTTATATATTTACTTCAGCACAATGTACAAAAGCCTGCCCAGAATTACATCATCCCATACAATTATCAAAGTTTATACAATTTCCCTCACTAGTACGCCATTAGTGTTTTTAAGATTGTCCTGTCTTTTTACCCGTATATGTTAGAGAAGCAATAATTAATTCAGGTCTGGTTATATCTATCATAACTGACTACAATGGATTTTGCGGACAGACAACGACCAATACCTTTCAGAAACTCTTTGTAATAGGACATTTGTTAAATACTTCATGAAGAGAACAATCAAAGTGCATCATGTGAAAAATACATTTCGCGAAAAAGCCAAATTATTCTTGATAAATAATTGTAGGAAAGAAATACGGAAAAGGAAGAGCAATGAAATATTGTCAAATTTTACATGAATATCGGAAAGCATGCAAAATATTCAAAATCTTCCATTTCTGCTATAACCTTTTTAAATAGTATCAACGGGCGAATGTGATTATATTCTAGGATTCCTTTTCGACGTTAGATATGAAACTTGTATTAATTCTACTGTAAGAGAGGGTTGTACAACAGGCACAAAGGGATATAGCACTAATACAAATATAGAGTTAGGTATATGATTCTGTTTTTCACGCTGCTCAATTTTGAAGATTACGCCGGGCTAACATTGTAACAAATTAAGTATGTCATGCTTTCTCATTGGTAACAATATATTATTGCATTCGCCACTTTCCTACAAAGGATATCGTATCTGACATGCTGTAGCTTGTGTATAAGTTAGCTGACAGCTTTGGATACAACATATCAGGGAGTGAACCTTGTAGAAACCACTGATCCAGGGCTGGACCTTGTAGAAAAGCGAGGTAACTTAGTGCTTGGTTAACACTGATCCGGGGCTGGACCTTGTAGAAAAGCTAGATAACTTAGTACTTGGTAACCACTAATCCGGGGCTGGACCTTATAGAGAAGTTAGGTAACTTACTTCTTTGTTAACACTGATGCGGACTGGACCTTACACAGAAGTTAGGTAATTTACTTCTTGGTTAACACTGATCCGGGCTGGACCTTACACAGAAGTTAGGTAACTTACTTCTTGGTTAACACTGATCCGGGGCTGGACCTTGTAGAAAAGCTAGATAACTTAGTACTTGGTAACCACTAATCCGGGGCTGGACCTTATAGAGAAGTTAGGTAACTTACTTCTTTGTTAACACTGATGCGGACTGGACCTTACACAGAAGTTAGGTAACTTACTTCTTGGTTAACACTGATCCGGGGCTGGACCTTACACAGAAGTTAGGTAGCTTACTTGGACAAAGCAGATTAGGGGCTGCACCTTGTAAAGAACCCAGATGACTTACTTAGATCCAGGGCTAGACCTTGTCAATTCGTCATTGATCGCGTGTAAAAGTGGATATTTTCCTTGTCCGCAGGATCCTGAGAAATCATCCAACGCCAAACTCCAAACCATTATACCACCATATTGCTCTTGTTTTACGAAATCCACCTATCATATAAAGATGATTGCTTAAAGGTGGTATGAAAATAATTTAAAAATCCATTTTAAATCAGGTTTTATCCTACCACCGGAGAAATATACTTTATTCCGTCGGTTCTAACGTTTTAAAAACATTTATCGGGTCTGCAGTGTTAATTTTCTTTACAAGATTGTGATTTCTGCGTGTTAATTACCGTTGAAATCGTTAATCATTACTCTGTTGGTCCTGCATTGTTAATTACTGTTAAAACATCTAGCATTACGCCTTTGTCATATCAACGAGACCTTGAATTACCTTCTTACGGAGACTTTCTTCATCATCGTAGCCCACCCACTGGTTACCCTTGACGATGTAAGGCACTTCCTCTCCCTGTATGATGTGCTTCTGAGCGCCGGGAATCATTTTACAGATCTGAAGGAAATAAAAAAGAATAATTTAACATTCTCTGTTTTTGTGATAAACTTGAAATATATCAAAAACCAGGATACAATGTTTAAATTGAATTTATCGTGTCCGCAAATCTACTTTTCTGATCAGATTTGCTTATGGGAAATCCCTTCGATGCAATTCCATTCCTCATTTACATACGATTGGTTACATTATTATCAGTAAGGGCAGGGGTTTCCTGGCCGTGACAATATAATATCGCTACATCAACCATATAACATGTAAATATTACTGAGGTAATGTCAATATGCCATGTATAAGAGGAAAGCAGACAACCATAATGTTATCCTCTCAGATTTCGTCAGTCCTTATCATCACAACTATTTTGTTTCGCTGACAGGAAAAGGCAAGCATACATGATTTTATCAGAAAAAAGAAATAAGACACAAAATTAAACTAACCACAAGGGCTGGGATTCCACTACCATATTGTTAGTAATATTTATTAATATCTTACTGTATTGACGTTTCTGGTGTAAAACTAAGTTGTCTCGTCACAATAAATGCATGTTAGTTATTAACGATACATATTTTATTTATCAATGATATATGAGATCGTTTTAACCACAGACGTGTCTAACAGTAAGGAATATAAATCTGCTTTTGATTTTTTTTACCTAATACCTCATTACTTTTATTGCTCCATGCGAGCAAAATCACGCTAGTATGGGAAAATGTCATCATTTCTCGGTTGACGTCCAAAGTTCGAGGCCTTTAACTGATATGGGTATATGAAGGACCTTTACCTCGTAGTAGGCAAGAATGCCAGCCTCTCCGGTATACCTGCCAGCAGTTCCTGCACCTCGAATGGGAGCATTCACACCGGTGTTAGAGCCCCCCAGTGTAAAGGAGCGACCGTAAAGAGGCATTCCGATGTTAAGCATACTCTTCGGTGTTCCTCTCTTCACATATTCTTTGGCAGCCCATTCCTAATGACAACAAATGCTTCCATCATTGTGATATTGAAACGAGAAAATAATACCTTGGTGAAAGGTCCATATTTATCATATCAACGTCAGCTATTATATTTTTAAGACATGATGCAATATTTTAATGTTTTTCAACTTACCACGTTGAGGGTGGCGTCATCACCACTATCCATTGGACCTGCCTTTAGAGGACTGTTGTGGCCTGTGTGGCCATCAAACGCACCGTGCAGATCGTAGGTCATAAGGTTGATCATATCCAGATATCTAAAAAAAAGTTTAATATTCTGTCTATATGTTTCCGGATCTTGCTTCGTTTGATAGGAATGTACTGACTGTGTGGATATTTCTCCTGATTAACTTTTTTCAGTTTGTTGGATAAGGTTAACCCTTAATGTCACTGTTCCACACAGAACATGTGTGTCCTTAAGGCGCAGTCAATACACTAGGTATTCGTTCTAAAAAGTACCGTGCATTAGACACGAATAAGATAAAACAATGTATGAATGTGTGAGGCGAGTATAAAAGGCCATCATATTTCACTGACTTCGCAAAAACAGTTTTCACGTAAACAAGTCTAATTTACCATAGTCATTGATAAAATTCTGTCATATACTGAAAATCAAAGGCTAGACTGTAAAGGTAATTGGAACATCAGAATCAAGTCGACTGTATTTCTGGAAATATAAATTGATCAATGTGATGACAGTGACTTACTTCACGAGTTGGGGCAAGTCGTATGCAGTTTCAATCTTTGACTTTCCTGCTCCTGTAGCTGCCGAGAGTAGAAGACGGGGTTTGCCGCTTGTTTGTGCCTCTGCATCAAATATTTCACGTGTTGTCTGTACAATGTTGAAAAAATAAAGGAAAAAATTAATATATAACCGGGTATGTTCATGCAAAAATAATTGTAAAGACAGCTTATTTCATTCATTTGTCATCACTTAAATCATAATTCTTATATCAAACAAAAGAGTACAGAGCCTACAAAGCAGTTGTGTATAGAGAAGTCGACTCGCAACGACTCCTCCATCACCATGACAGTAGGAGTCGACTTTCTTCCATTCAGTGTAACTTAAGTCGACTTTCCTTCAGCATCAAAACCGAATAAGACTCACCCTATAATTATCATTATAGAAGGAGTTGACTCTCCCTATCCTTACGACTGTGTGAAAAGACTTTTACATAACTATCTTACCTTAACAAGGGAGACGAAGTTTTGCTTGTCGGAAGCCGGACTCCCCCTGTTGGCCGGGTACTCCCAGTCAAAATCAAGTCCGTCAAAACCATGGGAACGAAGGAATTTTGCGGCGTCATTGGCGAAGTCCCTGCGGCTTTGATCGGAGGCTGCAATCCTTGTGAAAGGTGCAGATCCCATATTCCAGCCACCAACCGCTAACATCATCTTTACAGATGGATTCTGTGACTTCATTGCAATAAATCGCTCGTACCTACAACCATACGATTCATAACAGATGAATGGGTTTGAACAGAAGAAAGTGTAGATATGGACAATGGCTTCCACAGAATGACATTGCTTTACCTTTATCTTTTGACTACTGAGCTGACAACAAACCTGTATATCAGAATATGAGCATATCACTAGCCTGTTTACTGCACCGTTTGGACTACATATCCTACTTTGGACTACTGAGCCTAAAATTATCCTATATATAGGACTCTTTGGAATACTGAGCCTAGTATTAGCCTATATATAGGACTCTTTGGACTACTGAGCCTACAATTAGCCTATATATAGGACTCTTTAGAATACTGAGCCTACAATTAGCCTATATATAGGTCTCTTTGGAATACTGAGCCTACAATTAGCCTATATATCAGAATCTATGGACTACTTAGTCGTCTACCAACCTGTACATTGCCATACTTACATGCCTTTGGACCATGACGTGCTCTCATCATTCCATTCGAATGCCTTCAAATGATTTCCATTGAGAGTTGCGAAAGCATAGATGATATGTGTGCAAAGAGTGGGGTCGATGTTCTCGGGGTAGAATTTACCAGGGCTTTGTCTGTATTGTGACCAGTTAGTATGATAACACACACGGCGGTAGGCGTTGGTAACCACTAAAATATAAACCAATCACAGTCACACAAACGCTCCGTCAGACATATCTCTGTGAGGTAAACGCTTCCTATGACATATCCTTATTTGGATTCGAGGGGTGTTCAAAATAAGTAATACTAAGCTGATAACTTCATATTTGGTAAAATGTCCATTTACTAACCTGCCAACACCGCCACAAGGCACAAAAGTCGAAGCATCTGGAAAGAGAGGATTTATCGATATATAACATTGAAACTACAACCATATCAACGGAATCATATTCCAAACTCAAATTTAACATCTCACCCTCATGATAAATAACACTATAAATCTAAACAACTAAACAGGTAACATAACAGACTTACTTATCATATGAATGTACGATGTCTTATTTAAGTAAAAATTGTGGTATTATAATTAAAAGGGACCCGTTTCAATTAGTTATTTTTAAGCATTTTACTTATATCAGTGATTTGCGAACAATCTAATCAGATATATGACAAACTGTGAATAATTTATTCGGTCATGACATCATTCCAATGTGACTTTTTAAAAATTTAGTTAGACGTAATTGTATCACATTTTAATACAGATTGTGGTGATCTTTTTCCCCCTTTTGATCGCCTCGTCTATATTTTACCTGCCCAGAGCAGTTTGCTATATCAATGCTGCTTACGAAAAGACACTTGTGATCATGTGACAATGTTTTAATACAATTAAAGATGATGTGTCTCGTCCCTTTGTGGTGCTACCTGCAGCCGTGTGAATGTACACGTTTACCTGTACGACCTGCTGGCGGTAGATAAGAATTTTTATCACCAGCGGAAACAAGTGACAGGTGTCCATTCTCAGGACAGAGAAACGCAGCCACGAACTGCTTTGGTGTTGATAATTGCAGAAATTCTTCGATAACAGTATTAACAGTTGTTATTACTCTTTGAATTATTTTGAATTCACATGCTGTTCTACTTCTATATTCGAAACACTTATTTGAAAATATTGATTATTCATTCAGTTTAATTCACTGTCAGTCCCCGTAAACCTGAATATAGATTTCTCCGCCAGGTTAATTCACTGTCAGTCCCCGTAAACCTGAATATAGATTTCTCCTCCAGGTTAATTCACTGTCAGTCCCCGTGAAATTAAAAACGGATTTCCCCTATACGTCGCTTTCATTTCTCAACAACTTAAATAATAATTTTTCCTCTGGTATACCTCCCTATCAGTCCCCATTAACCTAAACATAGATTTCTCCTTCAGTATATGTCACTGTCAATCCCCATCAACCTAAATATAGATTTCTCCTCAAGTATACGTCACTGTCACTGTCACTCCCATCAACCTAGATATAGATTTCTCCACAAGTATACGTCACTGTCACTCCCATCAACCTAAATATAGATTTCTCCTCAAGTATACGTCATTGTCAGTCCCCATTAACTTAAATATAAATTTCTCATCCAGTATATGTCACTCTCAATCCCCATCAACTTAAATATAGATTTCTCCACGAGTATATATCACTGTAATTCCCCATCAACCTAAATATAGATTTCTCCTCTAGTATACGTCACTGCCACTGTCACTCCCATCAACTTAAATATAGATTTCTCCACGAGTATATATCACTGTAATTCCCCATCAACCTAAATATAGATTTCTCCTCTAGTATATGTCACTGTCAGTCCCCATCAACATAAATATAGATTTCTCATCGAGTATGCGTCACTGTTAGTCCCCATCAACCTAAATATAGATTTCTCATCCAGTATACGTCACTGTCAGTCCCCATCTACCTAAATATAAATTTCTCATCCAGTATACGTCACTGTCAGTCCCCATTAACCTAAATATAGATTTCCCCTCCAGTATACATCACTGTCAGTCCCCATTAACTTAAATATAGATTTCTCATCCAGTATACGTCACTGTTAGTCCCCATCAACCTAAATATAGATTTCTCCTCCAGTATACGTCACTGTCAGTTGCTATCAGTATATGCCTTTACTATACATCACTGTAAAAGTAAGCTCGTTTTAGATGTACTTCTTATAAGAGATCTGTATGTTTATATAGATAAAATAAATTGTTTAAAACACTACTACATTTCAAAGCTTCGCCACTTCGTTAGACGTAAATGATGATCTCTATGAACATATTTGAAATACACGTAAAATAAAGCAAAGTCATACCGCATAGATCCACATACCTTTATACAGATTACATGGCGTAGAAGACATGTGTACATTTAGCCTTACCCTTGAGGTTACAACTGTTATAATAATTACAATAACTAAATTAGACAATAGGATTCCCAGATTACCCAGGGAGCCTGAATTAGAATGGATTGTTACCGATCCTACTGTATTTCTGAGACGCTGGGAGGTCTAGATTTTACAGTGAGAGTGGTCGCAAACCCCGAGGGTTTAATATAAGCCGATACTATCAATCTACCGACATCTCTTCACATATATCGTAACATTCAATTACAAACGTATTGTTCCCTCAACCCAGGGAAACAGGAATACTCCCTTTCCGAACTCCTCGCCTCTTCTGGCCTGTATCACCTTATTAATTTTACTCCATCTTCCAATTTCTGACTAATACCTTATCGTAAAGACATCTTAATAATTTTACACCCTCTTCCAATTTCTAACTAATACCAATATCATCATTTAATTTATACTTCCGGCAAAGAAAATCTTAGTTTTAAAGACACCTTTTCCAATAACCCATTGTCTTAATTAAAACCACCCCCACAATCACCTACCGCACATTAACCGCTTATTTTACAGTTCACTCTTCTAAAATGCTGGAATGTGAAGATGGTTCGTGGAGTTAGTATCTGTGTGGTTGTATCGGAAGAACTGACCCTGTAAATTAGCCATGTCCACAGAGCAGCACGACATAATTTGTCAGGTGATGTGTTTGCAATGTATCTCCTGTACACCTACCCAGTATAAATCCGTCAATACTTATTAATAAAAAAGTATTTTATCTAAAGTTCAGTATCTCTAAAGTTCCCTGAACGTCATTGCATGCTAGCAAACTGTATTATCCTCAACATACATTGCTACTGTAAAATCATTCATTTTCGTGGGAAATTTATTTTCGTTGAATTATTCATTTCTCTGAATCCACGAATTCCTATGTCGACGAAAAAAACGAATAAAAGTTGAGTTGGAATAAAGGACAAGCGGTCTCGTGAGCCAAATTTAACGTGCAATCCAGTACTAATGAAAATGCATACGTTGGAACACCGCGATATTTGAGTCTCTCGAAAATATATAATTGTACAGTAACTGTAAATTGTTTTACTTTTAAATAACATCTCCCGAGTGTGTATATATATATATATATATAGCTCACTACATTCTACCAAAAGTTGTATAAACCATATACCATGACAGTATATGCACCAGGTCTGTGTCTAAACCTTATCAAATAAATCCCTCCCAGTATAGTCACTGTCCCGAGCACCGAAACTAAACATTAAACGTGAAACGAATTAAATTAAGTACCCTATCCTAAACGTATTTTCTCAAGGAATTTCAAACTCAACCTATAATAAATAGATGGCACTTGCTTTAAGTATATAAGTCGATTGCAGAAACGCAACCAGGTACATGTTTTATAGTCTGATAATAGTAATACATCTTCTCTCGTAATGACAATTAAAAACTTATCATTTCATCGTCCCCGATCCTTATACATTTTAATAGATAACTATCCATTAATCCTCAATCTACGTCAACCTTCAATGTAAGTCATTGTCCTTCCCGATAACGGGTATTTTTCTTGACTTTTCTGAGATTTCCCGACGTAAAAGATTAATTAGCCACTTATTAATCCTTTGATATCATTTGTACATTGATTGTCTATATATACCAAGTCTTGGTGATCGTGTTTACTCACATCGAAGTTCTTCAAGTCACAACTATAGCCAACGATGATACCTGCTCCACGATATCTTCCTCCTTGAAACCTCTGTCGTATGTTGCCTTATCGAAGACCGCCCTACATATAAGTGTGCCCGTCCGCACTATCTCGCCATGACCCGGTTTTACAGGAGTCAGCAGGTCTTCTACCAAACCAGAATGACACATTTTATTAGTACGTCCTTCCTGACACACTTCGGAATAGTTCAGGAATCCTTATTTTATAACCTTACCAAAATCTTTAAATGGTTAGCAAGATGATTGGTAAACTTCAACACTATTAAAACTGAAACCATTTTTAATCCGTAATCCTATAAATCTAAAACTGAAACCGGATAAATTTATGAAGCTAAAACTTTATAAATTTACTAAATTTGAAACATTTTTGATATACCAAAACTGAAACTATATATATTTACTCAAACTAAAACCTTATCAATAAATTTACTGTAACTTAAACCTAATCAATAAATTTATTAAAACTGTACCCTTGTAAATTAATTCACTGAAACTGAAACCTTACTAATGATTTACTAAAATTGACCTTCTTTTATTACGAGCAACACTGTACCTTATCCTTTTTCTATTCAAATCTTTAAAAAAATACAATTTTATAAACTAAGTTGTAGGTTTATATGATTAAAGTTTTCAATAGACGAAAAGTTGGTAATAGCCCAGCAAAAAATCTCGATATAATGAAAACAAGGTTATACTGTACTAACATTAAAACAACAAGAAAACACCAACACGTGAATATATTTATAATCCTGACGCCAATTCAACTAAGGCAAACTATTAACAAAACAAATATTTACACGGTGACTCCAGAAAAAGTACAAAGGAGAATAACAGCAGGTGCTCCGTAAGAGAAAGCGTCTTCTGCTTCATCGACGACATCCGCCATGTAAATCTCGGTAAATTCAAGAAAGTAATGTCACATTCTCAAGTGAGAACGATGGAACCATCAAACTAATGAGCATCAAATACGTCCAGCTTCATATCGCACAAAGAAATAGAATATTTCTAGATAAGTCAGTAATGATGTGAAATAGGCGCTGCCAAAATATATGACAAATATCAGCTCACGGTACAGTCATTTGTTGGGAAGAATATTTTCTGTTAGGGAAAAATCCAAACACGAGAGATAACTACTTACCTCCCAACTCTAACTTCAAAGAAATGTTTCCGATTGCGTTTGTAAGAGTTGTCTCTCCTAACTCATTGATCTTAGGAAAGTCTAGTATCATTTATATTACTTTCTTTCTGTCATTTTCTCTGGGACGCAATTAAGTAATGTTTCTAGAAACTGAAAATTCTCTTTCCAAACACACACTAATTTGGTTTATATCCGCAGACTTAAATCCGTAGATTTAAGCTAGTACACTTAAAACCGTAGACTTAAGTTAATATACTTAAATCCGAAGACTAAAGTCAGTATACTTTAATCAGTAGACTTAAGTTAGTACTCTTTAATCCGGAGACTAAAATCAGTATACTTAAATCCGAAGATTTGAGTTAGGACACTTTAATCCGGAGACTAAAGTTAGTAAACTAAAGACTGTTGTCTCCTGGCGTAGTCAGGCCTACTACAGTACGCCTGTACATTCACATCAATTTACCGCTCTTTGGTTGAAACGTAAATCAGATGGAAGCAAAATTCAAATTATTGAAACTGTAATTTTAAAAATTACACACCTACTCCATTTGCGATTGAGATTATTAAACGTAACAAAACATCCGTTATAAGTGACACAACGGTCACATCCAAAATCCGAATAAGTCTAAATACCAAATACCGGCTTTAAATTCTAAGCCTTTCACTTGTTAGTAGTGAATGTGGTTGTCCTGATAATACCAACTGGCGAACCTCTTAGTCAGGATTGGCTTTTGATTTTGATTTACATATATTTATTGTAAACATTAGAACAAGGGATGAGGCACACGTTATTATAATTTATGTACGCCTTCTCCCAATATACATCTTCACAGAAAACAAGGAAGCTTGTATACATGATGTAAAATATGTACAATAATCATAACTATTAAAACATGTCTCTAGACCTAACGCACATGTTTGAAGATATCTGAATCCAGGTCTATGACAACAAGAGGATTTTCGAATGATCGGGTAAGGGAGAGTAAGAACAAGAGGTGGAAATGAACGGTTAATGAAGTCGGGAGTTAATTTGTTGTGCATCATGTTTAAAAGATTTTCGTTTCTAATGCTAAGAAAAAAATTCTAGGCCAGATTCATAGTATGAATATTGGCATATGATAGAAGATTTTCTAACTTCCGGTCAAGAAGGCAGACGAACACAGAATTTTTCACACCACTACATTATTTTTATCGCAAAATTATAAGTACAATTTTTCAACTACCACCTACCTTTAAGTTTTTAACATCCTGTTATCTGGACAATATACAAATCCAGAACTAATAAAACACCCACGTGGAACCTGCAGACGTCCAGTAGCTAAAAATCATCAAGCGGTGCTTGGTGATCATAGCACAAATTGGCAGCTTATAAAATGTGCGGATGTCTCTCCACAATTGTAAAGACATTTTACATCCGTCGAAATTTCCAGTGACAAAACACGAACAGAACAAACGTCCGTTTTCCCTTTTATCAACCGTTCAATCAACATAACAATCTCTGAAAGTGTTATCTCCCTCTACCCTCCGTGTTTAACACAACAATCTGAAAGATTTATCTCCCTCCACCCTCTGTGTTTAACATAACAATCTCTGAAAGAGTGATCACCCTCCACACTCCGTGTTTAACATAACAATCTCTGAAAGAGTGATCACCCTCCACACTCCGTGTTTAACACAACAATCTCTGAAAGAGCTATCTCCCCTTGATCAAATAAACGAACTCCTATTGAATCATATTGTTGATCAACTGTTTGTTTCTGCAGGGACGTATAATACAGAGGGATAGGCAACTGCTGTAATAAGCTAAGAAATTATCGCGAGATATCGCGAGGCGCGAGACTACAGCGAGAAGAAACGAGATCAACGAAGCGTGGGTAATCAAAAACTGTTATCAAAACAAAGATTTCAGGTGGGTAATTAACTGCAATTAAGTCAGTTAGAACTGAAAGCAGGTTTTATAAAGACAAAACATATGTATACTGTTATAATATTCGCACGATGTTTCCGATAATCAATATCATAACAGCTAAAAGACTGTGTTTTATCAAGAGACCAGCGGCTTTTCTTGGCTGTAAATAGCGTTCATTTCCGCATTGAATACCAAATTATTTAGGATCTAAATACTCACAGAAAATCTGAAAAACGTTCTCGATTCATTTGTAGAGAGGGCTCTTATAAGTTGTGATAACTTGTGCCCAATCCATTTGCTTTCGGCAATAAAATATGTTTAAACTAAATTAATTCATCTGTTTTACAATTGTCTAGTGTGTAATAAGTATAAAAGAGAAAGGATGGGCTGCATCAATATATGGTAAACGTATGTCCTTTATCAACGCGGTTAAGCTTGTTTACGTTGTGTGTATTAAATGGCCAATCTGGCCAAGTACACAGGTAGTACTAGTTGTTCTAAAAACTCAAAGAAAACACAATCTTTCACCAAAATTCGTAGATAATATTGTTAATTACATAATATTGTCTGTATAGAGGAAAAAGTATGGTGATTAAGCTGGTGTTTTTTTATTCAGCAATTTTAACTTGACCTATATGTCGTACTTAATGCCCCATTATAAGATAAAAATGGCCAATCTGGCCAAGTGCACAGGTAGTACTGGTTGTTCTAAAAACTCAAAGAAAACACAATCTTTCACCAAAATTCTTAGGTAATTTTGTTGATTGCATAATGTTGTCTATATAGAGGGAAAATTATGGTGATTAAGCTGGTACATTTTTTTATTCGGCAATTTTAACTTGACCCATATTTTGTACTTAATGCCCCATTATTAGATATAATGGTCAATCTGAAACCTGTCCGTTAAGAAATTTGGGAGATGATTTAAAAAAACTTTGAGGATGTTATTCTTGACATATAAATTATATCAGTATTTACTACTAATACCTTTTTTACCTTATAACTCCCATATATTTCACTTACAACATGTACAAACAATTAATAAAGCAGTGCTGCAGTTGATTGACTTTCATCGGTTACCACATTTTGATTAACACTCTCAGTATTGTCATTTCTAAAAAGTAAAACTGCGTCCTGCTGGAGATTTAGATCTATAACATGTTTCTCATTATTTGAAAGATACCAATTAATTGAATGAGTTAATTCAGTTGAATTTCTTTCAAATTATTAAATGCTAAATGTATTTCTTTTTGCAGGATGCCAAAGCTCAAGAGATGGAATGTGCCCTTCAAAAGAAAACAGAGAAAATCTTCAAACTCTACCGGAAGTGACCATTGTTACTCGGCTTCGTACGAACAAACTGCAGACAGTACTGTAAATACATGTACATATGGTGTATTTACTTCTTCATGTTTTAATAATGAACATTCAGATAGTAGCATTGTAAATAATAATGTAAATACTTGTGACTCTTTTCGAGCATTTAAAAGAGAATTGCTAGAGAATTTGAAGTCCCCATATACCTACAAACAAAGTGCTGATGATGATGTTATACAAATGATTGAACTGTATCCGGCAAGTGCTAAAACTTCAGTGAAACTAAGTGTTATTATTGACAAAAGTTATCATGCTAAAATTATTGTTCACCAAATACAACTGTCCTCCACCCATGACTTCTGGATAGGCTTACCAACTACTTTTGATACCTTATCAACTGTTGATGCATTACTGTGCAAACTTAGTTCATGGAGTGTGTGTCTTGGCAACTGTGATGAGGAATACCAGAAAATGATACCAGTTGGAAGTGCTATACAGTCAAATGAACATTCATCTGGCAAAGACAGTAGATGATGTATGGTGATGACGTGTCAGAGACTGTGAATTTTACTCGCATGATGAATCGTTTCTTTTGACTGTTTGAATGTCAGAAGTTTGTATGAGGGAAGGAACTCTAGAAATCCTTACTTAGATCCATACACATCTGTACAAGATGAAAGGTTACGCTGGCTCAAAGAAAATTTCTTAAAATGAAGATTAAGATCTCGTTGTTAACAAAAGGCCCCGCGATAGTTCAACGAGAAATTGCGAGATTCTAATCCCTCTGTATTATACGTCCCTGGTTTCTGAAACGAAACTTGACGACAGCTTTCCAGATGCACACGGTAGTACTGACAATTAACACCTATGGAGAGCTGACAGAACCATATATGGAGAGGCATAGCGGCATACCTACGATCCGATCTGCCTGGTCATCGTGTGAAACCCCTGGACTTTGAAGACATTGAATCAATTAAGGATTTAATCATGTTATGTTGAGGTTAATGAACTTCAATATGTCATTTTGTCCCAAGACCTATTGAGGTTCATGCCCCCATAAACCTCAACATAACATGATTCATTCCTTATATATATATTTGAACAACAACATGGCGGCCTACGGCGTGGGATAGAGAACTTCATCAGTTCATTTCTCTTGTAATATTTTTTAACAAAATCACATCAGTATGAAAAGAGAAGAAATGCAAGGGAGGCAACCCCAACTTTAGAATGAAAAATGTATTCATACACCAACTATGAGTGCATTGAAAAATGACTTGAGCAAACTTTGGTAGGTTCATTGAGTCTGGGTTTAGTGGAAATATAAATATTGTCTATTGAACTTAATCTAAATAATGTAATATGGCTAATTCAGGGTGTATACAGACCCCCTAGTATGACTGAAAACAATTTTACAAATGGCTTTTGCAAAGTTTTGTCTCATGTACAACAACATATGATAATCTTATTGTACTAGGTGATTTGTATTATGACTTTTAACAACCTCTGCAAAATATATGTGGTTTAACTTCTCACCCAAAAAACACTGATTTAACTTTAATAGATTTTATACTCACAATAGTCAAAACCTGACAGGAAAAATCTGTAATTTCAACACAGGTATCAGTGTGGTAGAAATATCCACAGTTGTCTTTCCAGACATATATTGTTGTTCTTTGTCATGGAAAAAGAGATACATACAACCATAACACGTGTTCTCGGTTATCACACGAACAACAGCTCGTGGCTGGGAACCCTAGAATGGCGTGTTTATTATACATAATTATGGTACGTCCGTCAAACAGAACATAACCCAGCAAAATAACAGGAGTTTGTTATCATTTTATTTAATAAATTACAATAGTTTTGACAAAGTAACACGTTCCTGTGGTCGCGTTTATCTCCCTGATCCCGAACAATGTGGCACGTGCTGAGGAAAGTCACAAACGAGAGTTTTGAAGTTGAACACAGTTCCAGGAGAACATCTCTCGTGGAATTGCAAACCAGATGCACATTCATAGAAATGTGCACAGTCATTAGGATCGGCGTGAATACCATCGGCCTTCCCGGAGCAGAATTTTACTGGAAAAAAATCCAGAGCCATATTGTAAGTAAATGAAGCAAACATAACTTTGCATGACGTAAATACCACACAAAAATAAACTTGGTATTTGTTTAGTTTTTTCGCTATTTTTCATAATATAATAGAATGATGGAAAATAAAAAAAATTGAAAACAAAGTTAATGAAGACAGTTACAGACGGGTTTTTACTTTTTACTGTTTTAGTAAAACCGCATACTTTTACTAGTGCTGCATTAATAACTTCATAACACAGGCACATACTTTATTTTACAACTACAAACATTGTATTAAAGGTACAATCAAGGTGATAGCGTTTTCACATGAGCTTCATTGTTACCCACGTTCAAACAGTATTACAGGCGCAAAAAGAGTATTAAATGCAGAGAGTATTACAGGCGAAAAAAGAGTGTTGCAAGCAGGTACATACATAGTATTACAGGCAAAAACTGAGAATTACAGACACAAACATATTTTGTAGTATAGAAACTTGTAGTGGCTGTCGTAGTGTAACAATTTATATCAAAATTGTAGACAGAGAATACTATATAGATAAAAACATTCTTTGGAATTCATAATGATAGAATCACGGCAACGTGACTTTACCTGGGCGATGAGGTTTGTGTGTTGGCTGTGGACCTGGAGTTGATGCTTGAGTGCTGGATACTAGGGAAGCAAATTAAGCAGCATTTACAGCATAAATAGCTAAAGAAGCTAATAAGGCTAGACGGACAGTGCCAAGATGGTATCAGACTTATTCACATCCACCAGACTTACGCACGTGTATCAGACAGAATTATTGACATTCACCAGGTATAGTCAAGTGTATCAGATTTTTTCACATCCACCAGTCTTACGCACGTGTATCAGACAGAAATATTGACATTCACCAGGTATAGTCAAGTGTATCAGACTTATTCACATCCAACAGACTTATTATTTCCGCATATCCGATTAATTCAAATCTTTCAGACTTATTCACATCTATCAGACGTATTCACATCCACTAGACATATAAACATGTATCAGAGCCTTATTCAAATTCTTCAGACTTATTCACATTTTCATATTTATTTATATAGACTCTGAACTCATTCAAGTGAAACGGATATCGTACTTATTGCCGTTGGCTGTCACTTTTTATGTACGATATCTCTCAACGTTTTTATTCACATGACCGGTCTCTGAAACCTATCCACCATGCATATGTCCCCTTATCATAGATGTGGGTCGTCTTCAAAGCCTGAGATGTCTATTAAATCTACCATGCACGTACGATTACGTCAAATCTACCATGCACGTGACATGTTACTAAAATTTTCTATGCTCGTAGTCTGTTGATTTTGCAAATCGGATATTCGTTATTTTATTCAGATTAATCAATATATCTAAGAAAGGTGCCACTAGGTCTTACTATTATATGATAAAAGGTATCGCTCTGTAACTCTGTCGCCAGTATGATCATGTTTTTATTTATGTAGAAAGATTACCTGTAGCGATTGTCGTTCAGAATTCGGAACAACATGAAGCAAAAAGCTTGACGTGAAAATATCATTTAAGAGAAGCAAACATTGGTATCATAGACACATCCTTGAGGATCTTATATTTTACCTGGTGCGTTAGTTGCCGGAGGATTGGTGGCAACTGGTTGAGGTGGCATTGTCGTGACTGGTGCATTTGTAGGAGACATCGTTGTCATGGTAACGGCTGGATTCTGTGTCAGTGCAGGTGGCTGTGAGGAAGGTTGCATACTGCCTTTGCATTGAGTATTGCTAGGATAATCACAAAATAAGGTGTTGGCATTAAAGTACAGACCTGGTGTGCACGACACTTCAAACGCGGACCCACCAGCACAGATGTAGTACTTTGAACAGTCAGTAGGACTTGGGTAAAAACCGGCACTCTGAGAGGCACAGTTGAAGTGGTTGGTGGTGGATACCGTATGGTGGGCGACAGGTGCTGTTAATAGCAAATTAAAAATGTATTAGCTTAGAAACGTTTACCAGTTATACAACAGGATACATTGGGTAAGCAAACCAGCACATAAGGAAATAGATACTATCAATATGTTGCTTACTCTTTCAAAACGGGTTGATACGAGAGTCATTTTTCAATTGATTCTCTTCTTCCAGTGGACCATTATCATTAACATTTCTGTTTGCTGAAGTATCAAATATTGTACAAAAACACGAATGAAAAGCACCTTTTAACACAACTTTAGAGTTATATACAGCAGAGCCTACTTGACTACTAAGGAAAATTTAGAGAGATCAAAATGTATATGGGGAGGTGCACTAGACCATAATTCAACAGATTTCGAAATTTTTCATATATCAGCCTATTTAAGAACAACATCAAGTACATTTGTGTTTTAAGCCGTGGCAAACAGATTGAGGAATTCCCCTAGAAGTCCACTGACGGCGTCTACCACCTGTAATTTTGGAAGATTGACACACAATTCAATGGCACCTTTTAATACAATATAGTAGACCTAAACATCTTGCTGTCGTTACTATGATATCATTTAAGTTACATATTTCAAACGTGAAAACGAAATTGTTGTAGTATAGACAAATGTGGGTACATACCGGATGTAGTGACTTTAGAAGTCGAAGTGATTGGAGCGTTTGTCTGGGGAGCACCAGTGACTGGAGCGTTTGTTTGGGGCGCAGAAGTGACTGGAGCGTTTGTCTGAGGTACACCACTGACAGGAGAATTTGTTTGTAGCGTGGCCGTGACTGGAGCGTTTGTTTGGGGCGCACCTGTAACTGGGGTATTTGTTTGGGGTGCACCCGTGACTGGAGCGTTTGTCTGAGGTACACCACTGACAGGAGCATTTGTTTGTGGCGTGGCCGTGACTGGAGCGTTTGTTTGGGGTGCACCTGTGACTGGAACGTTTGTTTGGGGCGCAGCCGTGACTGGAGCGTTTGTGTGAGGTACACTACTGACAGGAGCATTTGTTTGTGGCGTGGCCGTGACTGGAGCGTTTGTTTGGGGTGCACCTGTGACTGGAACGTTTGTTTGGGGCGCAGCCGTGACTGGAGCGTTTGTCTGAGGTACACCACTGACAGGAGCATTTGTTTGTGGCGTGGCCGTGACTGGAGCGTTTGTTTGGGGTGCACCTGTGACTGGAACGTTTGTTTGGGGTGCAGCCGTTACTGGAGCGTTTGTCTGTGGTACACCACTGACGGGAGCATTTGTTTGTGGCGTGGCCGTTACTGGAGCGTTTGTCTGGGGTACACCACTGACCGGAGCGTTTGTTTGGGGTGCAGCCGTTACTGGAGCGTTTGTCTGTGGTACACCACTAACGGGAGCATTTGTTTGTGGCGTGGCCGTTACTGGAGCGTTTGTCTGGGGTACAACACTGACTGGAGCGTTTGTTTGTGGCGAAGCCGTTACTGGAGCAATCGTTTGGGGTGCACCTGTGGCTGCGGTGTTTGTTTGGGGCGCAGCCGTGACTGGAGCGTTTGTCTGAGGTGCACCACTGACAGGAGCATTTGTTTGCGGCGTGGCCGTTACTGGAGCGTTTGTCTGGGGTACAACACTGACCGGAGCGTTTGTTTGTGGCGAAGCCGTTACTGGAGCAATCGTTTGGGGTGCACCTGTGGCTGGGGTGTTTGTCTGGGGCGCAGCCGTGACTGGAGCATTTGTCTGGGGTTCACCTGTGACTGGAGGGTTTGTTTGCGACACCGTTGTCATTTGAGCTGGTCCGTTAGTTGCCATTGACTGTTGTGAAGTGGTCGGTGCGTTTGTTACCGAGCTAAAGAAAATAACAAAATGAAAACACGGTCCTTAGACTGATTTGTATTATATTTTTTCACAAATTACCTATACCTATTTTTCATTGTTAATGATTTAATTGATATGTGTAAAACGTAAGATGGAAAATGAAACCTTGGCCACTGCTTCAAAATTGAAATGTAGCCCGGTAGCTTTTAAAAAACCGAAGCCCCTCGTTGAAAAATCTCCCTAAAATGTTTCGTTTTCGTTTTCCTGTTGATATTCAACATGCTACAATATTGTTAAACTTAATCCTCTCTACAATTCTTCCATAATATTAGCATAAGCTCTGGTTCCATCGTTTGGAGATTTATTTCCGGAATCACAATTTGGTACTTGGGTACCACGGTCCTTATACAGGAGCTAGTTGACTTACCTGGATTCTACGGATCTGGGCCTGCATTTTGTACAGAACCTAGTTACTTACTTAGGAACTGCAGATCTTGTCAACTCGTCGTTGATAGCGTGCAAAAGTGGGTATTTCCCTTCTCCGCAGGATCCTGAGAAATCATCCATATCCAAACTCCAAACCATCACACCACCATATTGTTCTTGTTTAACAAAGTCCACCTATCATAAAAAAGTCAATAGCTTTAAGGATGTTTAAAAATCAGGGGACAAAAATTAAGATAAAGCAATTTAAAAGCAAAACAAGAGTATGTTGTTGCACATCTTTGTTCGCTACATACGTTAGAATATGTTGAAATACCAATTGTTCTGACAAAATTTGTTATTTTCGGAGTGATTTCCGATCAACAGGTCTTTCTTTCATTAAAATGTAATGAAATGACAGTAAGCATAAAAAGTGCGAAATGTTCGTTTTATTTCCAAAACGGCTTGGATCCAGTATTGGTCAATGTTTATGCTTAAAAAGCTGAGAGATACATCACTTTTTAGCAACGGAAAAAATGTTGAAATTGATTAGCTGTAAAAAGAATCACGTGGTCAGCAATGCCATCAATAAACAAGTTGTTTACAAGGAAAGAATCCCTAGAACATCATAATAAACACCCTACCTGAAATTATCAGTACAACTATAGAAACTGTATAAAATCACTGAAGTATAGACAGCTAATATTAATTTTCACCGCAAATCTAGGCAAACATATTGCTTATACATCCTAAATGTTCGTCCTTCTTTCTTTGTTCCAGCGATGGTAACTTTTAAAAACATTCTAGAAATTATCAATACCTCGTTAGTCTAGCAATGTCAATTGCTGGTGACCAATCAATGATAATCAATCAAAAACATTGTTGTATCTACGAGACTCTTGATTACCTTCTTACGGAGACTTTCTTCATCATCGTAGCCTACCCACTGATCACCCTTCACGATGTAAGGCACTTCCTCTCCCTGTATGATGTGCTTCTGAGCGCCGGGAATCATTTTACAGATCTGAATGAAATAAAATATGACAAAAATTCGCTGTTTTGTGTGAGGAACTTAGTTAAACGATTGGAGAACATTTAGGTTGGACCTCCGATCAGTATAAAACGTAAATATACAATTCTATATCAAAGTAGTTTAAGAAAGGACTCAAATCCTTTTGAGTTTTTCACGAATTAGGACATAACGGTTAAATTGCATTGGTGTGTTAACATGTCAATTTCAGATTTACTGGTGAGTAAGGCAAATTCTTCAGTTAATATATACAGAACTTGCGCTCTCAAACTCGGTTAATAATTAATTCATATTTGTCAGCTTCTGATGGAATTCTATTCCATACCGACATACGATTGTATTATTGTCAGACTCGGACAGACAGACGGAGACAATTGAATGTCGTTGCATCAAACAGATGACATGTAAATATCATTATGCATTGAGGTTAAGTCAATATTTAATATATACAGTGTATTAGAGGACTAACAAAGCATACAATAATCATTTCACCATTTCGGAGTCCGTTTCTACCACTACCACAATTTGATTTCGTAAACAGGAAAAGGCATTTTGGTATAATCTAACCGGAAATTGGAAATGTGACGACAAATGAATCTTATCACAAGGGCTGATATCCCCCCTATCATAAGGATTAATAAATATCCTAATCTGCCGACCTTATTATGTAAAACAAATAAAACAAAGAAAATGTAGGTAAGTAAATAACGCTACCTATTTTACAAATATGACCTCCTGAGATTTTTGAGGACGAATTGAAAATATATCTATCTGTGACTCCTACCTGATAAATTTATTTACATTTACCGGATATGGTATCTAAGCAAACTAATCCTTACGTGTTTTTGTTGAATTGGATTTCTGGATGCTGGTTTAGGGGTACATTTTCATAATTTGACGCATTTAAATCATATGTAATTAAGATTCAGTTTGATTGATGAGCATGATATCATTTGTCTATAACTATGAAGGAACTTTACCTCGTAGTATGCAAGAATGCCACCCTCTCCGGTATACCTGCCAGCAGTTCCTGCACCTCGAATGGGAGCATTCACATCGGTGTTAGAGCCCGCCAGTGTAAAGGAGCGACCGTATAGAGGCATTCCGACGTTAAGCATACTCTTAGGTGTTCCTCTCTTTACATATTCTTTGGCAGCCCATTCCTAATGACAACAAAAGCTTCCCTATGATAACATTGAAACAAGATAACTCATCTCTGTATAAGGTCCATATTCATCACATCAATGTCAACTATTTTACCCGCTGTAATATTTTGTTTGTTCCTTCTGAAGGATTCCACTTACCACGTTAAGGGTGGTGTCATTACCAGTATCCATTGGACCTGCCTTTAGAGGACTGTTGTGGCCAGTGTGGTCCTCAAACGCACCGTGCAGGTCATAGGTCATAAGGTTGATCATATCTAGATACCTACATGGGAGAAAAGAGTTTTTGTCATGTTTTATCTCGTGCTTTGTTTGATATAAATTTTGTAATCAGTTTGAATGTGCATATGTTATGTTCATACATTTCCTGATTAACTTTGAGGTTGATTGAATAAGGCTAAAACATGTGTGTCACAGAGGTACCATTCCGAAAATGATCGTTACAATTTCTACAAATGCACCGTACATTGGGCACAAATAAGATTAAATGAAACCATGAATATAATTTTGAGGCCAGTATCATGAATTCAAGAACATTAACGAAAGAACGCATATTTCACTAACCTTGCAAAAGATACACTCTTACACTAAAAAATCTCTTCATGGTTTAAAGCATATTTGTTAACATTGGGCGATATCATGAGAGTCTGAATGCGAGATTATAAAGGCCTGATGAACACGGGAAGGATAATGTAGACTATTTTTTTTATATAACTCGATAAATGTGACTTACTTTACGAGTTGGGGCAAGTCGTATGCAGTTTCAATCTTTGACTTTCCTGCTCCTGTAGCTGCCGAGAGGAGTAGACGGGGTTTGCCGCTTGTTTGTGCCTCTGCATCAAATGCTTCACGTGTTTTCTGTAAAAAATATATAACAGAAAACAAATTATTATATATACACACTATTGTATATATAGCTGAACATGTTTATAAATTACAAATAGCAAGATATATTTCTTATTTCAATTACAATCACTATAACCATGACATCATCATGAATTTTTCTTATATAAATTAAAATAGTACATGGCTCTTATATCACCCGTATATAGAAGACAAATCTTACCTATAAAAATACGTCAGAGGTAGAACATCATCTTTGATCGATATCTTTGTTTATTGATATTTCACAACCTCTACCGTAACGGTAGGTGTCGACTCGCCTCTATCAAGATGATCATCGGCCTTTACCCCATCGCTAGAAGTTGAATCTCTTTTATCATATATATAAATGGAGCCAGTTTAACTCCTTCAGCATAACAGAATGCGTCGACTTGCCCAATGGCAGTAAGAGTGGAAACTCCTTCATCGAGTGGACATTGGAGTCGACTCTGCTCAATCAGCAAGTCATTAGGAGTCGACTTTTTAACTACCATGACGGTAGATGTCGTTCTCCCCGTCATTATGACAGAAGGAATTAACCTTTATACTCTTATTTTTACCTTAACAAGGGAGACGAAATTTTGCTTGTCGGCAGCCGGACTCCCCCTGTTGGCTGGATACTCCCAGTCGAAATCAAGTCCGTCAAAGTCATGGGAACGAAGGAATTTCACGGCATCATTGGCGAAGTCTGTACGACTTTGATCGGAGGCTGCTATTCTTGTGAAAGGTGCAGATCCCAAATTCCAGCCACCAACCGCTATCATAGTCTTCACGGACGGGTTCTGAGACTTCATTGCATTAAATCGCTCGTACCTACGGATACACCACACATAAAATATTGATAATACAATGGATTCAACAAAATAACATATTTTATTTACTTGTCGTTTCGATGTGGATTGATATATAGTGTTTATTGTAATAAAGGAAGCATAGATAAACAACAAACACCAACATTCTTGATCTTTGGTATTCCAAGAAAAGCTCATCACTACAATTTCTTCTGGTATCCGTTTTTTGGTTAGAAAAAAATACTAGACTAATACTTCCGACAGCTGACATCTTAAGTTCGATTCGAACATCTTCTCATTATTACAGATGGATTACTTACATTCCTGTTGACCATGACGTGCTCTCATCGTTCCATTCGAATGCCTTCAAGTGATTGCCATTGAGAGTCGCGAAAGCATAGATGACATGTGTACATAGAGAGGAGTCGACATTCTCGGGAAAGAATTTACCAGGGCTTTGTCTATATTGTGACCAGTTAGTATAATAACACACACGGCGGTAGGCGTTGGTAGCCACTGAAATATCAACCTATCCATGTCAAGGGTATAAAAGAGAGGCGAACCAAGGATTACATTTGTTTGGTCGTTTGCAAATCAGATTTAACACTGAGATGCAACTGTGAGTTGATGGATATTCAAAATAATAAATCACTTTTGATACACGAAATAAAAGCATATAAAATTAAACTTGACAAATGACCTATCTGGTAAAATATCTATTTACTAACCTGCCAAAACCGCCACAAGGCACACAAGTCGGAACATCTGGAAAGAGAGAATGTATTGATATATAACGTACCTTTTAAATTAATGGTTATGTAACGCATTTTTCATTGGATCATTTTCATGATCTAATCCCTGATCTACTCATGATTTCTGACCATAGTCGTAAGATGGCGGCCATCTGTCAGGTTTAGAATATTTCTCCATTATACATCACTGTCAGTTCCCATCAACCTAAATATAGATTTCTCCTCCTGTATACGTCACTGTCAGTCCCCATCAACTTAAATATAGATTTCCCCTCCTGTATACATCACTGTCAGTCCCCATCAACTTAAATACGGATTTCTCCTTCAGTATATGTCATTGTCAATCCTGATTTACTCAATTATTGATTTCAGCTATAGTATCCGTCCCTGTCAGATCCCATTCGTTTTCTCCATTATTCAAGTATACGTCACTGTAAAAAAGTCATTACAAAGCTTAAATATTTGTTAATCTGTTTATAAAACGTTGATGATCCTGCTCTTTTCGTGCACATATGTAACCCTGTTATATCTCGATGTACAATAAACCGTCTTAAATACGTCAATACGCCATGGGCAATTAATTTTCGAAAAAAAAGAGAAAAAGCAATAATGATGAATAAAAAGTCATCTTGCATGCACATCTACATACAACCCATGATATCTCTAGAGTTTAATTGTAGTGGCTTCCAAAGTTTGGACAAGATCCCTCTAAGGGTAGGTTTTATTTGGTTGGTATAGCAATCCATATGTATATGATCAATGAAGTAATAACGACAGTGCGGACAAGCAAGTTTTCGAGACAATCCTCTCCATTATCATGACAGAAGATATCACATTAGATACATCACATACATAAAACACAAAGCAAATATCAAGTTACAGACTATAGTTGAGCACGGTAGTGTATATTTTGGTGTCTCTATAATCCCTATTGCCGACGAACGCCGAAAGCCCTTTATCAGGACCAAACAAAAAACAAAACAAAAAAACAAAAACAAACGTCTTAAGCTGTCGTATGGAAGATAGCGATTAACGTATCAATTTTTTTAGAAATCTCGGTACGTTGTGCACGATAAGCACTGAACGTACATCCGTCCATATAAACCCAATATAAGTCAATGTTCTTCCCAAAAACGACGTATATTCCCGCAAAAACGATTAATTAACCACTTCTGAATCATTTAATATCACTTGTACCTTGACTGTATATATACATATATTTAGAGCGATACTATATGACCTGTTCACTCACATCGAAGTCCTCCAAGCACAACTTTAACCAATGTTGAAACTTGCTCCACGATCTCTTCCCTCCTCGGAACCTATGTCGTATGTGGCCTTATCGAAGGACGCCCTACATATACATGTGCCTGTCCGAATTATCTGATCTTGACCTGGTCTCATAGGAGTCAGCAGGTACTCAATACGTGATGCTACTTACGTCGCACTTCGGAAAGAGCCAGATTAATATATTATGACCTCAGCAAAATCCATGAATGGTCAGTACAACGGTTGGTAAATTTAATTTCTACTAAAATTGAGAGTAAAAAAAAAACTAATAACCAACTTAAATTTTCCTAGATAAGCACCTTGCCCTATTTCTATTATTGCGGTTGTACCGTTCACATGAACTCAGATGTAACCAATATGTATGTTTTACACAAATTTATATTTACTCTAAATGAAATCGTAATTCTGTATTTTCAAATATGACAATATTAATGATGGTCTTTTCGAAGAAATTCTTCCTCAACGTAACAACAGCATCTAAGATCACAATATTCGTATTGGTTCTACTTTTCATCTAATTCTCTACTAAAAAATACTTTCATGTTTGCATTGGCATGTGGCATAAATAACAAGTTGCAGAAATTAATTAAATAAGCCTGGCCCAGGGGATTTCAGCTTTCTCCTACAGAAGACAGGGTCAGATTCACCAAGCAAGATTAAGAGTGTAATACAGTTTGCTTTTTTATTCCCTGTATTAATAAATCTGGTTCATTGTCCACTATGCTCAGGAAATTAAGAAAATGTGACCAACGAACACGCTTTATTACATTGTTAAATTTTCTCCAAACTTCGCATATATGTGCGTTTTTTTTATATCATAAAGTACCTATACAATTTTAAAGCTTTGTCGGTATTTCTTTTCAATAAGGAATATTGTTAAACATTGCATTGAAAATTATGTAATTGCCTAAAGTTTACTCAATAAATATGTGATCAACTTGTCATTCGGTTGATCATATCAATGATATATTTTTTGATGATTTTAATTAAACAAATTGTGGTTTTTATATTACCATACATTTCAATATATGAAGAGTCAGTTCTAGATATACAATGACACAAGGCGAATGCTCAATCAATTCAAAGCAAAGCCACAATCGTTAAAGTCAGCCATGGCAATGGCAGACTTGGGGCATGGTCCTGGTATGGATGTCCTTATGTGCTAGACGTTTCTTATGTAAATATTGAATCACTGCCTGCGAGTTGGTCCATTTCGCAAAAGACACTTGCCTTGTTACATTTAGAGTGCTACCTCCTCGACACAAACTGAACAAATGCAACCAGTCTGCGGGTACACAGCCTCAATCGGAGAAAAGTAGAGCTGAAAAAGGATATCCCTGCTTAACATACACGGCTCACAACCTATCAATCAGCCCTGCAACAGTGTTGTAAATACTCACATGAAAAATTATGTTCTCCATTCACGTGAATAATAATGTAATATTTTGTAAGCAAAGAATTTGTGTGTAGTTAACTAGTTGACTGGACTCCATCCATTAACCTTCCTGGTTTGGATGAACCTTATTTTTGTGTGGTTAACTTATTACCTAGTTTCTGTCCATTAACCTGCCTTTTATGGATGACCCTTATTTGTGTGTAGTTATCTAGTTGTCTGGACTATGACCATTGACCTGCCTGGTTTGGGTGACCCATATTTGTGTGTAGTTAACTAGTTGCCTGGACTATGACCATTGACCTGCCTTGTATGGATGATTCTTATTTGTGTGTAGTTAACTGATTACTTGACTTTATCTATTAACCTGCCTGGTTTGGATGACCCATATTTGTGTGTATTTAACTAGTTAACTAGACTATATATATTAACCTGCCTTGTTTGAATGGACCTTATTTATGTGTGATTGACTAGTTCCTGGTATTTATTAATTAAACTGACTAATTTGGGTGACCCCAGACGAAAGGACATATATTACAAACTCTGAGGGCTTGCACCATTGATCAAAAGAATACCTGTTTACAAATGGAACTGAGCATTCATTTGTACAGGATTCATCCTTCCTATTCCAGAGGATTCGGACAGGTTGACATCTCCTTGACATCAACTGGTCTCGGCTGCCTCTGATAGCAGTTAAAACATTTGTTGCAAATGACTGCATCGTTAAGTATTGCTTGGTGTATACCCTCTTGTGGAAGAATTCATAAAGCCAGTCATGTTTAGAAAGTATCAATCTGTCAATCTAAGAGAGATATTATTACTGTTTGTCATTGAAAAAGAGACACATACAATTATTACACGTGTTTTTCGTTATCACACGAACAACTACACGTGGTTGGTGACCTAGGACCTTTTAACAGAATGAATTGCTTTATTCTACGTAATAATGTAACGTCCGAAAGACAGTTTGTTATCATTTTATTGAATAAATTACAATCGTTATGACAAAGTAACACGTTCATGTGGTCGAGTTTATCTCCCTGATCCCGGGCAATTTGGTACGTTGTGAGGGTAGTCACAAATGTGAGATATTTTGTTGAACAAAGTTCCAGGGGAACATATCTCGTGGAACTGCAAACCAGCTGCGCACTCATAGAAACGTGTGCAGTCATTGGGATCTGCATGAATACCGTCGGACTTCCCGGAGCAGAATCTTACTGAAAAGCAGAGTTGTAACATTAGCGAAAACACAGTTAAACTTAACGTATAGCCCGGACATTTCTTAAGCAACGACAACGTATATAACGTATGATTAGCCATAAAAGGTAATAACATGCTTTACAAGCGTATACATTACTTTTTACAGGCACATTTGAAGTGAATTAAAAGCGTTAACAGAGTATTAGAGACACAGAGTATGCCATGACCTAAAAGGTTATTACAGGCACATACCTAGTAATACATGCACTAACAGAGTATTGCGAACACAAACAGAGCATTACAGGCACTAAGATTATTTAGTGTTAAAGAATGCGTTTTCGTTTTACACGACAAATGTCCCTTTCAAGACGTTCCCAAAGAGCGGTTCAAACACGGTCGTGCTTCAAATAAAATCACTTGTGTTTAAACTGGTTGTCGTTATGTTACCATCTATGGGCAGAGACGGCTATATAGATAAAAAAAAAACTCTCAGGATCTCGCGATAACGGAATCCTGGAGACATGACTTTACCTGGATGATGATGAGGTTTGTGTGTTGGCTGTGGACCTGGAGTTGATGCTGATGTGCTGGGTGCTAAGGAAGCAATTTAAGCACCATTTACAGAGTAAACGGCAAAAGAAGCTGGTAAGGCATGACAGACATTGCCAATATGCGACTAGGCATGGATTTTACATTAGTCATTGTGTCATTGTGTTACCACTAGTTACATATTATCTTTATAGCAAATTGCATGTGATGTCATTTATATTTGTAGTGATATCCATCAGATTTACTCACATGTATCAGGCCTATTCATATCGACTAGACTTATTCGTGTATTTCCGATTTATTCAAATCCTTCAGATTTAATCAAGTGTATCAAACTTATTCACATCCACCAGAGTTATTCAAATCCATCAGTTATTATTCACGTGTATCAGACCTTATAGCATGTACCATTCCTATTCATATAGACTGTCACACTCAGTATTCCCAAACCTACTATTGTCGTAGGCTGTTGCTTATACTAATCGCGTATTTTGAAATCCGGTCGGATAACACGTATATAACTAAGAGAGGTGCCACTAGGTCTTATCATTATATAACGAAGGGGTCGATCTGTAACTCGAGCTAGCCAGCATGGTCATCTACAGAGAGACTACCTGCATGACTGGTTGAAGCCGAAGTGGGTATATTTTTCGTTAATGTCGTAGGATCCAAGGTCGCTGCAGGTTTTGTTTCTAAGAAGCAATTGGGCAACAGCATGAAGCAAAAAGCTTGACGTGAAAACATTTTAAGAGAAACAAATACAATGTATGTTTGAGCATATATTGTATTTATATATTGGAATCCTATTTTACCTGGCGCGTTGGTTGGTGCTGGTGCATTGGTTGGTGCTGGTGCATTGGTTTGTGGTGCATTGGTTGGTGCTGGTGCGTTGGTTTGTGGTGCATTGGTTGGTGCTGGTGGGCTGGTTTGTGGTGCGTTGGTTGGTGCTGGTGGGCTGGTTTGTGGTGCGTTGGTTGGTGCTGGTGGGCTGGTTTGTGGTGCGTTGGTTGGTGCTGGTGGGCTGGTTTGTGGAGCGTTGGTTGGTGCTGGTGGGCTGGTTTGTGGTGCGTTGGTTGGTGCTGGTGGGCTGGTTTGTGGTGCGTTGGTTGGTGCTGGTGGGCTGGTTTGTGGTGCATTGGTTGGTGCTGGTTGGCTAGTTTGTGGTGCATTGGTTGGTGCTGGTGGGCTGGTATGTGGAGCGTTGGTTGGTGCTGGTGGGCTGGTTTGTGGAGCGTTGGTTGGTGCTGGTGGGCTGGTTTGTGGTGCATTGGTTGGTGCTGGTGAACTTGTTTGTGGAGCGTTGGTTGGTGCTGGTGGGCTGGTTTGTGGTGCCTTCGTTGTTGCTGGTGCGTTAGTTTGTGGCGCTTTGGTTGCCTGAGGATTGGTGACAACTTGTTGAGGCGGCATGGTCGTGACTGGTGCTTTTGTAGGAGACATCGTTGTCATGATAACGCCTGGCTTCTGTGACAGTGCAGATGGTTGTGAGGTAGATGTCTTACTGCCATTGCATTGAGCATTGCTAGGATGATCACAGTATAAGGTATTGGGATTAAATTCTAGACCTGGTGTACACGACACTTCAAACGCGGACCCACCAGCACAGATGTAGTACTTTGAACAGTCAGTAGGACTTGGGTAAAAACCGGCACTCTGAGAGGCACAGTTGAAGCGGTTGGTGGTGGATACCGTATGGTGGGCGACAGGTGCTGTTAATAGCAAATTAAAAATGTATTAGCCTAGCAACGTTTACCAGTTATACAACAGGATACATTGGGTAAGCAAACTAGCAAAACATTCCATACAAAGAAATAGATACGTCCAATATTTCCCTTACTCTTTCAAAACCGGTTGATACACGAGTCATTTTTCAATTGGAAATTGGATTTGAAGGAAATTATTGCATTAAATAAAGACCCTTCGGGTCAGATGACCTAAACATGAAAATGAAGCTTTTATGATATGGAAAATTGTTCATACATACCAGATGTGGTGACTTGAGGAGCGGAAGTGACAGGGGTGTTTGATGGAGGAGCAGTAGCGACTGGAGCATTTGTCTGTGGTGCACCACTTACTGGAGCATTTGTTTGTGGCGAAGCCGTGACTGGAGCATTTGTCTGCGGTGCACCTGTGACTGGACCGTTTGTTTGCGACACAGTTGTCACCTGAGCTGGTGCGTTAGTTACCACTGACTGTTGTAAAGTGGTCGGTGCGTTTGTTACAGAGCTAAAATAATAACGAAATGGAAATAGGGTCCTAAGACTAATTTGTATTATACTTTTTCACTAATGATTTATACGCACTTTTTGTTGCTGATATAATAATTGACATGTGTAGATGGTACCGGTGTAACAAGTAAGATGTAAAATGGAACCTTGGCCACTTTTCAACATTGAGATGTAAACTGGTAGGTTTGGAAAACTGAAACCCTTCGTTAAAACTCTGCCTAAAAAGTTTCAATTTTCCCTATCCTTTTCCTGGTTGAGTTTACTGCTCCCTGTTGATATCCCACACAATGCAGAATTCAGAAAAAAATCACACTATAGTAATCCTACTTTGTCACAGTACCATAGGTATAATGATAAAATTACTATGTGAAAATATTAGGAATTTCGCATGTGCCCCTTGGGTCCATAATTTACCGCAGTAAAATGAACAGAATATGGCAGAATGGGGTCACATATTCTACACATATACATCAAACATGATATAGATTCTCTCAGCAGTACAGTACGTGTGTTTTTGAGATCTGTCCTGAATCCGTTTCTGAAACTTGTCCGACAAAGGCGAAAACAGTTTTGATATTTTATCATGGGAAAGCATCATGGAAAATGGAAGACGACGAAACATTAAAATCGAAAAGCAATCGAAATATTCAAAATGACTGCTGTGCGGTATTCGGTGTTAAGATATGTTGATGTGTTTTCAAGATGGGTCATACTACATTCATTTGGATCTAGATAATCTATAAACTTGCAACATTAAATATGAAAGATTGGTCCGTTTACATATTTTTACCGATAAAAGATGGTTTTGTATAATTTTCAATATATTTCAGCATATTAATTAATTAATATTTAATTTAGAACCAGAACTAATCTGAATTATTCAACATAAAACCTCTTTTGTAATTCATTTTAACGTTGATTATGAAACCGAAATATAATTCAAACCCCTCAGAAATCAATTCTTGTTAATAGACCTAAACAATTTTGAACACAAAGTACAAGATTGAAATATAGAATTTGCTTTGCTATGATGCCAAAGTGAATGCTATGAACATTTGTATCTTAACCATTGATGTCCCAATGACAAAAACCCTAGGACCAAAAGTAGACTCCTTAAAATAACCACAAAAGTACTTTACTCAAACCACCAAGAAGCCTATAACTGTGGATAAGTCGATAAGACAAATATGTTTAACACACTTTGGATTATTTTTTCCTTATTGAAAACAGACTCTGATTCAACTTTTAAGGTTATACCGGTTAATAATCGTTACAAATTAACATTTGTGAACAGATACGATAGACTCGATCATCGGTAATAATGTATTACTACATCCGCCACCTTGCTACAAATATGTTTATATCTGTGTCACGACTTACATGGTTACCTCATATCCGGTGGACCTTGTTCAGGAGCTAGGTGACCTATTTAGGTACCACAGGTCAGGGACTGGCTCTTGTAAAGGAGCTATATCACTGACTTAGGTACCACAAATCAGTGGCTTGCGCATAAAGTAGTTGACACTGATTCTTGTACAGAAGCCAGTTTACTTACCTAGTTACTGTAGATCTTGTCAACTCGTCATTGATAGCGTGCAAAAGTGGGTATTTCCCTTCTCCGCAGGATCCTGTGAAATCATCCAAATCCATGCTCCAAACCATTATACCACCATATTGTTCTTCCTTAACAAAATCCACCTATCATAAAAAAGTCAATAGTTTCAAGGATGTTTGAAAATCAGGGGACAAAAATTTTTAACTTTTGTTCTGGTGATGAAAGTATATAAACAAAACAATAATATGCTGCTGTATACCTTTCTTCGCAACATACGTCAGAACATGTCGAAGAATGGATAACATACACTAAACTATTTTGGAGCCGATGTTTTGTCAACAAATTTTGTCTCTCATTAAATTGTAATAAAATGACAGTGAACATAGAAACCTATTGTGAAAATGCTAAATATTAATTTTATTTTACGATTTCAAAAATGGCTTAAATCCAATATCGGACAATGTTCTTAAACTTTTATAAATTCTTGTTCCTTTGAAAGACAAATGTTTAGGTTTCAATTTTGCGCTTAAAACAGGAAGTACTTCTTAGCTTCTATCTTCACTACTAACTATTGTTTAAAACGTTTATCATTATTCCTTTCGTCCTGCAATGTGAACTATTACTGAAAACGTTAATCAATATTTCTTTAAAATGTATATAATGGTAATCAATCAAAACCATTGTTCATACACCCCAAACGTGTGAACTTTCGTTTCAAGATTGTGATTTCTACGTGTTAATTAAATGTTGAAATCGTTAATCATTAATCTGTTGGTCCTGCTTGTTAACTACTGTTAAAAACCTATATATTTACACATTTGACAGACATAAAAAAAGGCAATCAATCAAAAGTTATGTCATATCAACGAGACCCTGGATTACCTTCTTACGAAGACTTTCTTCATCATCGTAGCCCACCCACTGGTTACCCTTGACGATGTAAGGCACTTCCTGTCCTTGTATGATGTGCTTCTGAGAGCTGGGAATCATTTTACAAATCTGATGAAAATAAAAACTTGAAAATACAAAAACAAAACAAAAAAAAACAAAAATAAATGTTCTTTTGGTGATGACCATTCTATATCAGTGTACAGTTTCAAAAAAGCCTAAACTCCATTACTATTTTCCACAAATCAGGATATAACATTTAAATTCAATTTATTGTTGTCTTCTGTCAATTTCAGATCAGATTTGCTTGTGGAAAAAAACAAGTTCTGCCGTCAATATATAGAACTCGCTTTCTCGCATTCGGTTCAGAATAATTTTTGATCTGTCACCCTTTGTTGAAATAATTTTCTTGCATACGTTCGGTCATATCATTGTCAGTCTGAGGAGGAGGTTTCCTGATTATGACTATCGAATGTCGTTACATCAAACATATAACATGTAATTGAGGTAATGTCAATATAGGATATATAAGAGGACTAAAAAACAATAATCATTTTACCTTCTCCGAATTTGTCCGTCCCTAACAACTATTTGGTTTTGTAGAAAGAAAAGGCAAGGGTGTTATTTAACCCGAAATTAGAAAAAAGACGACAAATGAATCTTACCACAAGGTCTGAAGTCCCCCGCCCCCTCCCATTAGGATATAAAACATCCTAATTTTGTCGACCATCTTATGTAAAACAAAGATATCTCAACACATAAAAATGTAGGTAAATGTTCTTATGTTAAAAACATCTACAACTGCTGAACATGATCTGGCAAGCACAGTCACGCTTAGTCAAATAATGTCATCATTTTTGGTTGAAGTAGATTTCCGGATGGTTCAGTGGAAGTTTTGACAAGTTAACAAATTTTAAATGATAGGTACCTGGTATATATATTTTAGATTAGGTTTACTTGATAAGCATTACATGATCATTTGTATATAAATATGAAGGAACTTTACCTCGTAATATGCAAGAATGCCACCCTCTCCGGTATACCTGCCAGGAGTCCCTGGGCCTCGAATGGGAGCATTCACATCGGTGTTAGAGCCCGCCAGTGTAAAGGTGCGACCGTATAGAGGCATTCCGATGTTAAGCATACTCTTCGGTGTTCCTCTCTTCACATATTCATGAGCAGCCCATTCCTAATGACAACAAATGCTTCCACTATTGTGATATTGAAAAGATATGTGTAAACTACTTGAAATATTTATTTTGTATGTTTATTTCAGAATTGTGAAACAAGCTATCAGCTTATGTTAATCACTCTTGATGGCCCGGATGGAAGCGAATGTGGGATATTGCTGTGGGAGGAAACCGGAGTACCCAGGGAAAACCCACGTAGTTAGGCATGTGATAGCAAACCTGTACATGTCCGTTCCGGGAACCGAAAGCCGGATGGCTAGGTGAAAGGTGAGTGTGTTACCACTGCGCCAACCGACGACCAATGTAAAAGGTACATGCTTATCATATCAATGTCAAATATTTTAATTTGAGGATTAGCTAAAATATTTTTCTTTGTTTCTTTTAAATCGTCCCACTTACCACGTTAAGGGTTGTGTCGTTACCAGTATCCATTGGACCTGCTTTTAGAGGACTGTTGTGGCCGGTGTGGTCCTCAAACGCACCGTGTAGGTCATAGGTCATAAGGTTGATCATATCCAGATACCTGCACGGGAGAAAATTAATTTTCTCTTTTGTTTTGATCTCTTGCATCGTGTGATATAAGTGAGGGTCAGAAGGTGAGTTTGTAAAGGCTAAAGGAACACGGAGAGGACCATATGACTTGAAAATTGTGACTTACTTCACCAGCTGGGGCAAGTCGTAAGCAGATTCAATCTTTGCCTTGCCTGCTCCTGTAGCTGCCGAAATGAGCAAACGGGGTTTGCCACTCCTTTGTGCCTCTGCGTCAAATACTTCACGTGTTTTCTGTACGATGTGAAAAGAATTAAAGTAATCTGTAATATATATATATATCATCATTGCAGTTGGACTCGACTTTCCTCCATCAGCAGGTCAATGGGAATCTTCTCTTCCTAACTATCATGACGGTAGATGTCGGCTCTCCCTAACATTAGGACAGAAAATTTACCTGTACAAATTACTAACCTTTACAAGGGAGACGAATCTTTCCTTGTCTGCAGCCGGACTCCCCCTGTTGGCTGGATACTCCCAGTCGAAATCAAGGCCGTCAAAATCATGGGAACGAAGGAATTTTGCGGCGTCATTGGCGAAGTCTGTGCGAGTTCCATCGGAGGCTGCTATCCTTGTGAAAGGTGCAGATCCCATATTCCAGCCACCAACTGCCAACATAGTCTTCACGGACGGGTTCTGAGACTTCATTGAATTAAATCGCTCGTACCTACATATAATTGAACATGACAGATGATTTATAATACAATCGATTCAACAAAATGACATATTGCGTTTACCTGCCATTTTAGAGTGAATTGTAAAATAAGTCGATATCCATGCAACTGGAACACAGACAAATAAAAAAAACCGCACAACATCAACATTCTTGATTTTATGATATTCCAGGTAATACAAACAACGACAATTTCTAGAAGTATATTTACTTTTTGTTTAGGTTCAGTATATATCCTTTTGTTTAGATTGAGTATATGTCCTTTTTGTTAAGATTCAGTATATATCCTTCTTGTTTAGATTCAGTATATATAATTTTGTTTAGATTCAGTATATATCCAATTGTTTAAATTCAGTATGTATCCTTTTTCTTTAAATTCAGTATATATCCGTTTTGCTTAGATTCAGCATATATCCTTTTCGTTTAGAATCAAATACTTATATTTGTGACAACTGTCATCTCGACACCGATTCGGACATGTCTCTGATATTAGTCTGTGATTTAAATTACTTACATGCCTTTGGACCATGACGTGCTCTCATCATTCCATTCGAATGCCTTCAAGTGATTTCCATTGAGCTTCGCGAAAGCATAAATAATATGTGTACAGAGAGTTGGGTCGACGTTCTCGGGAAAGAATTTACCAGGTTTCTGTCTGTATTGTGACCAATTAGTATAATAACACACACGGCGGAATGCATCGGTAGCCACTGAAATAGCAACCTATCCCTGTCATTGGTATACTAGGAAAGCGAGTCATTGATTACATGATTTGATACCGTTTGTAAAACGACTTGGATTAATTAAATTAAATTAAATAAATAATTTAAATCTCATGAAAACATGAAAAACATCATATACAACGTTTACCAGTTATACAACAGGACACATTGGGTAAGCAAACCAGCACAACATACCACATAAGGAAATATATACGTCCAATATTTCCCTTACTCTTTCAAAACCGGTTGAGACATGAGTCATTTTTCAATTGGAAATTGGATTTGAAGCAAAATATTGCATTAAATAAAGAATAGCATTTTGAAGCAAAGTATAGTCTCACTTCACTTTAGGGGACCCATTCCCAGGTGCTTTGAAATAATTTCCTATCTCCGTTGATCTTTCTGATCTAATTTGGCTGTAATCCGTCCAGACGTTAGGTAGAGGTAGTGTTTGAAAGAAAAACTTTATGGATGGTAGACGATGCACAATGGGAATAGGTCATCTTGCCCCTTCGGGTCAGATGACCTAAACATGAAAACGAAGCTTTCATAATATGGAAAATTGTACATACATACCAGATGTGGTGACTTGAGGAGCGGAAGTGACAGGGGTGTTTGATGAAGGAGCAGTAGCGACTGGAGCATTTGTCTGAGGTGCACCTGTGACTGGACCGTTTGTTTGCGACACAGTTGTCACCTGAGCTGGTGCGTTTGTTACAGAGCTAAAATAATAACGAAATGGAAATAGGGTCCTAAGACTAATTTGTATTATACTTTTTCACTAATGATTTATACGCACTTTTTGTTGCTGATATAATAATTGACATGTGTAGATGGTACCGGTGTAACAAGTAAGATGTAAAATGGAACCTTGGCCACTTTTCAACATTGAGATGTAAGCTGGTAGGTAAGGAAAACTGAAACTCTCCCTAAAAAGTTTCGTTTTTCCCTATCCTTTTCCTGGTTGAGTTTACTGTTCCCTGTTGATATCACACACAATGCAGAATTGTTTAACACAACTGATCTCCACAATTCCTCAAATATACTGGCATGCGCAGTCGCAGTAGTAGTAAAGTTAATCTGGGGGCATTGGCTGTGACATTACTGTTGATTGTCTCTCTCTATTTAGATTTCTGGTCATGAGCTCTAATCTATATGTTCTCCCATTTTGGCAAGTTAATCTGGCACAAAATGATAATGATATATGTTTTTCAAGGATTTAACACAATGTTCTAATAGATAGAGAAGCTTAAACAAAATAAAATTTTTTAAAAAAGCACACTATAGTAATCCTACTTTGTCACAGTACCATAGGTATAATGATAAAATTGCTATATGAAAATATTAGGAATTTCGCATGTGCCCCTATAATACCCTGTGATTCGCTCTATGGGTCCATAATTTACCGCAGTAAAATGAACAGAATATGGCAGAATAGGGTCACATATTCTACACGTGTACATCAAACTTGTTATAGATTCTCTCAGCAGTACGGTACGTGTGTTTTTGAGATCTGTCCTGAATCCGTTTCTGAACCTTGTCCGACAAAGGCGAAAACAATTTTGATATTTTATCATAGGAAAGCAACATGGAAAATGGAAGACGACGAAACATTAAAATCGAAAAGCAATCGAAATATTTAAAATGACTGCTGTGCGGTATTCGGTGTTAAAATATGTTGATGTGCGTTCATTTGGATCTAGATGATCTATAAACTTGCAATATTAGATATGAAAGATTGGTCTATTTACATATTTTTTTATTTATATTTTAAAAGATGGTTTTGCATATTTTTCAATACATTTCAGCATATTAATTAATTAATATTTAATTTAGAACCAGAACTAATCTGAATTCTTCAACATAAAATCTCTTTTGTAATTCATTTTAACGTTGATTATGAAACCGAAATATAATTCAAACCCCTCAGAAATCAATTTTATTATTTGATAATAGATCTAGACAATTTTGAACACTAAGTACAAGATTGAAATATAGGATTTGCTTTGCTATGATGCCAAAGTGAATGCTATGAACGTTTGTATCTTAACTATTGATGTCCCAATGACGAAAACCCTAGGACCAAAAGTAGACTCCTTAAAACAACCACAAAAGTACTTTACTCAAACCACCAAGAAGCCTATAACTGTGGATAAGTCGATAAGACAAATATGTTTAACACACTTTGGATTATTTTTTCCTTATTGAAAACAGACTCTGGCTCCACTTTTAAGGTTATACCGGTTAATAATAGTTACAAATTAACATTTGTAAACAGATACGATTGACTAGTCATCGGTAATAATGTATTACTACATCCGTCATCTTAATATAAAAATGTTTATATCTGTGTCACGACTTACATGGTTACCTCATATCCGGTGGACCTTGTTCAGGAGCTAGGTGACCTATTTAGGTACCACAGGTCAGGGACTGGCTCTTGTAAAGAAGCTATATTACTGACGTAGGTACAACAAATCAGTGGCTTGCGCATGAAGTAGTTGACACTGATTCTTGTACAGAAGCCAGTTTACTTACCTAGGTACCGTAGATCTTGTCAACTCGTCATTGATAGCGTGCAAAAGTGGGTATTTCCCTTCTCCGCAGGATCCTGTGAAATCATCCAAATCCATGCTCCAAACCATAATACCACCATATTGTTCTTGTTTAACAAAGTCCACCTATCATAAAAAGTCAATAGTTTCAAGGATGTTTGAAAATCAGAGACAAAAATTTTTAACTTTTGTTCTGGTGATGAAAATATATGAACAAAACAGTAATATGCTGATGTACACCTTTTTTCGCTTCATACGTCAGAACATGTCGAAGAATGGATAACATACACTAAACTATTTTGGAGCCGATGTTTTGTCAACAAATTTTGTCTCTCGTTAAATTGTAATAAAATGGCACTGAACATAGAAACCTATTGTGAAAATGCTAAATATTAATTTTATTTTACGATTTCAAAAATGGCTTGAATCCAATGTTGGACAATGTTCTTAAACTTTTATAAATTCTTGCTCCTTTGAAAGACAAATATTTAGGTTTCATTTTTACGCTTAAAACAGGAAGTACTTCTTAGCAACGGGAAAATGTTAAGATTGTTGGTGCTGTGAAAAGAATCACGACGTCAACCACGCCGTCAATAAGCGTAGTCTACAAGTAAAGAATCTATCTTCCCTACTAACTATTGTTTAAAACGTTTATCATTATTCCTTCGGTCCTGCAATGTGAACTATTACTGAAAACGTTAATCAATATTTCTTTAAAAGGTATATAATGGTAATCAATCAAAACCATTGTTCATACACCCCAAACGTGTTATTTTTCGTTACAAGATTGTGATTTCTACGTGTTAATTAACTGTTGAAATCGTAAATCAGTACTCTGTTGGTCCTGCATGTTAACTACTGCTAAAAACCTATATCATTACATATTTGAAAGACATATAAAGGCAATCAATCAAAAGTTATGTCATATCAACGAGACCCTGAATTACCTTCTTACGAAGACTTTCTTCATCATCGTAGCCCACCCACTGATTACCCTTGACGATGTAAGGCACTTCCTGTCCTTGTATGATGTGCTTCTGAGAGCTGGGAATCATTTTACAAATCTGATGAAAATAAAAACTTGAAAATACAAAAACAAAAAAACAAAAAAAACAAAAATAAACGTTCTTTTGGTGATGACCATTCTATATCAGTGTACATTTTCAAAAAAGGCTCAACTCCATTACTATTTTCCACAAATCAGGATATAACATTTAAATTAAATTTATTGTTGTCTTCTGTCAATTTCAGATTAGATATGCTTGTGGGGAAAAGCAAGTTCTGCCGTTAATATATAGAACTCGCCTTTCTCGCATTCGGTTCAGGACAATTTTTTTATCTGTCACCCTTTCATGGAATACTTTACGTTTGGTTATATCATTGTCAGTCTAAGGAGGAGGTTTCCTAGTTATGACAATCGAATGTCGTTACATCAACCATATAAAATGTCGTTGATGTAATGACAATATAGGATATATAGGAGGACAAAAAAAAAACAATGATTATTTTACCTTCTCCGAATTTGTCCTTCCCTCACATTACAACTATTTAGTTTTGTAGAGAGAAAAGGCAAGGGTGTATTATCTAACCCGAAATTAGAAATAAGACGACAAATGAATCTTACCATAAGGTCTGAAGTCACCCCTTCCACTAAGATTGAAAATAAGCTAATCTGTCGACCTTCTTATGTAAAACAAAGACATCCCATCACAGACAAATGAAGGTAAGGGTTCATATGCTAAAAACATCTGCAATTGCTGGGCATGATCTGGCAAGCACAGTCACGCTTAGTCAAATAATGTCATCATATGTTGGTTGTAGAGGATTTCCAGATGTTTTTAAGCGAAAATTTTGACAAGTTAACAAATTTGAAATAATAGGTACCAAATATATAACTTTAAGATTCGGTTGGCTTGATAAGCATTACATGATCATTTGTCAGTAAATACGAAGTAGATTTCCGGATGGTTAAGTGGATGTTTTGACAAGTTAACAAATTTTAAATGATAGGTACCGGGTATATATATTTTAGATTAGGTTTACTTGATAAGCATTACATGATCATTTGTATATAAATATGAAGGAACGTTACCTCGTAGTATGCAAGAATGCCACCCTCTCCGGTATACCTGCCAGCAGATCCTGCACCTCGAATGGGAGCATTCACACCGGTGTTAGAGCCCGCTAGTGTAAAGGAGCGACCGTATAGAGGCATTCCGATGTTAAGCATACTCTTCGGTGTTCCTCTCTTCACATATTCATGAGCAGCCCATTCCTAATGACAACAAATGCTTCCACTATTGTGATATTGAAAAGATATGTGTAAACTACTTGAAATATTTATTTTTTATATTTATTTCAGAATTGTGAAACAAGCTATTAGCTTATGTTAATTACTCTTGATGGCCCGGATGGAAGCACATGTGGTTTGTTGATGTAGGAGGAAACCGGAGTACCCAGGGAAAACCACATAGTCGGGCAGGTGACAGCAAACCTGCCCCCGTCCGTTCCAGGAATCGAACTCCGGACGGCTAAGTGAAAGGTGAGTGTGTTATCACTGCGCCAACTGACCACCCATGTAAAGGTACAAGCTTATCATATTTTACTTATTTCAATTTGAGGATCAGTTGAAATATTTTCTTTGGTTCTTTTAAATTGTCCCACTTACCACGTTAAGGGTTGTGTCGTTACCAGTATCCATTGGACCTGCCTTTAGAGGACTGTTGTGGCCGGTGTGGTCCTCAAACGCACCGTGCAGGTCATAGGTCATAAGGTTGATCATATCCAGATACCTACACGGGAGAAAGTTTAATTTTCTGTTTTGTTTTGATCTCTTGCATCGTGTGATATAAGTGAGGGTCAGAAGGTGAGTTTGTAAAGGCTAGAGGAACACGGAGAGGACCATGTCGACTATATTTTTATATGACTTGAAAATTGTGACTTACTTCACCAGCTGGGGCAAGTCGTAAGCAGATTCAATCTTTGCCTTGCCTGCTCCTGTAGCTGCCGAAATGAGCAAACGGGGTTTGCCACTCCTTTGTGCCTCTGCGTCAAATACTTCACGTGTTTTCTGTACGACGTGAAAAGAATAAAAGTAAACTGCAATATACATATATCATCATTGCAGTTGGACTCGACTTTCCTCCATCAGCAGGTCAATAGGAATCTTCTCTTCCTAACTATCATGACGGTAGATGTCGGCTCTCCCTAACATTATGGCAGAAAATTTACCTGTACAAATTACTTACCTTTACAAGGGAAACGAATCTTTCCTTGTCTGCAGCCGGGCTCCCCCTGTTGGCTGGATACTCCCAGTCGAAATCAAGGCCGTCAACATCATGAGAACGAAGGAATGTTGCGGCGTCATTGGCGAAGTCTGTGCGAGTTCCATCTGAGGCTGCTATCCTTGTGAAAGGTGCAGATCCCATATTCCAGCCACCAACTGCTAACATAGTCTTAACGGACGGGTTCTGAGACTTCATTGAATTAAATCGCTCGTACCTTAATATAATTGAACATGACAGATGATTGATAATACAATCGATTCAACAAAATGACATGTTGCGTTTACCTGTGGTTTAAGTGTGAATTGTAAAATAAGCCGATATCCATGCAACTGGAACATAGACAGAGCAATAGTTTTATAAAATAAAATACAATACATACACACAGCATCAACATTCTTGATTATTTGATATTCCAGGTAATACAAACAACGACAATTTCTGTCAGGATATATCATTTTTTTAGATTCAGTATATATAATTTTGTTTAGATTCAGTATATATCCTTTTCGTTTAGAATCAAATACTAATATTTGTGACAGCTGTCATCTCGACACCGATTCGGACATGTCATTATCTCTGATATTAGTCTGTGACTTAAATTACTTACATGCCTTTGGACCATGACGTGCTCTCATCATTCCATTCGAATGCCTTCAAGTGATTTCCATTGAGCTTCGCGAAAGCATAGATGATATGTGTACAGAGAGTTGGGTCGACGTTCTCGGGAAAGAATTTACCAGGTTTCTGTCTGTATTGTGACCAATTAGTATAATAACAAACACGGCGGTATGCGTCGGTAGCCACTGAAATAGCAACCTATCCCTGTCATTGGTATACTAGGAAAGCGAGGCATTGATTACATGATTTGATACCGTTTATAAAACGTCTTGGATTCGAACGATGATCAAAATAATTTAAATCTCATGAAAAACAACATATACAAGAGTAAAACTAAACTTGACAGATAACATTTCTAGTAAAACTGCCATTTACTAACCCGCCAAAACCGCCACAAGGCACAGAAGTCGGAACATCTGGAAAGAGAGAATGTATTGATATATAACATCCTACCATCATAGCTAATCAACTCTAAGCAGAAACCCTAAAATACCATTCGACGAACAAGCTATGAAAATAAGTAGATACGATTTGAGAAATCAGAATGCATCAGGGTCTCCAAAATGTTGTCAATGATATGTTTTATTCTAGTGGGTCAGGTTCTGGTGTTGTGCCTAATCAAGGTGAGAACAATATTGTAACACAAAGGATAAAGAGTTTACGTCGGTAGTTTTAGTCATTTCTGTAGAAATGCTGCAAATAAAACGATACGTTCTTCAGTTTATCATATGTAGAGGATAACGATTGCTAAAGCACAAGCTCTACTTAGAAATTTTTTACTATTAGGAAAATGGCGCTCTAGATTAAATTATTAAACTTCAAATAGCTTTGAGGGGTGTTGAAAAACTTCTGATTATAAATTCCGTGCTTACAACACAGTGTCACATCACGAATGTTATGCTTACATGCAAAATAAATAAATAGCCTGTTTTTGAATAGTTGTATACATCAATATGCATCTGGAAGTAAAGGCGTATTTTGTCTTTCGAAATAATATCATTTGAGGTATTAAGTCGTGTTTCTGTAGTTATCCAGTAAACAGAGGTACGTTTTCCAAGCAGTTCATGTCATAAGGTTCATATACATTATTCTTGTGGCCGATACATCCAACCAACTATATACTTAGCGTATGGACCGTTGAGTACCTTTAATAGTGAAAAGTGACCTTGTATTTTATTTCATTGATTGAAAACTCAACTTCTCTGAAAATATTCTATAAGGAAACATTACGTTATCATAATTAATGGAGCGACCGTTTCAATTAGATCGATCAATCAGCTTTATGCATTTACCTATATCAGTGATCTGTGTACAAGCTACTTCGTTATAAATGAGCAATAAAGTATGAGTGAACTTAATCACTGATATATGAAATCATAATTAATCACCCTGGTCATTGTCACAACAATTACATTACAATTAACTACATGGTCAACATGGTCATTATTTAGTCGTCTCGTCTATATTTAACTTGTATTGAGCATTGTGCTGTAACCGAAGATCGTACCATCATATCACAATGATTCCATGAATTTATTTTAACAGGAGATGGATCCCTCACTCAGAAAACATGAAAAAGTTGCAGCTGCGTAAAATGTACACATTTACCTGTGTATGACCTATGGATGGGAGATAAGATGCTCTCCATCGGAAACAAGTAGCAGGTGTCCGTTCTCAGTACAAAGAAACAAAGTTCTACTGCTCTCGTTGACCGATATAACAATAGCAGTATCAACTCTCACACGATACATAAACTTTTAATTCACACATAGTTCTATGTCGTATTATCTTGGTATTTGAAATAATTAATTATTTATCATTTTTTCTTCAATGATTACCTCTCCTTCACTAAAATTCACTGTCAGTTTCCATATCATAATATTACAAATTTGTACTGAAAAAGGCCTGCATGTCTTCATATGGCACGTAATAATGATGTGTAATTTCACTGAAATTGGTTCAAAGGTTGAGATGTCCGGATACTATGTTTCTACAGACAGAAAGACAGACATACATACAGACAGACGGGCAGAGCAATGAATTCTAATGTAACACCTAACTTCTTTGCGGGGTGGGTATGGTATCCCCCTCAATAATATTTATTGAAATGAAATACACACACAAAAACAATAACTAATTACTTCTAATTCTAAGTCATTCAATCAATGCACTTCCCGAAAACATTTTTTACATTTTTTCTGAGATTTCACGATATAAAAGATTAATTATCCACATATTAATCCTTTCATATCATTTGTACACTGATTGTTTATATATAAATCGATACTGAGTGACCTGTTTACTCACATCGAAGTTCTCCAAGCACAACTTTAACCAATGTTGAAACTTGTTCTACGATTTCTTCCCTCCTTGGAATCTATGTCGTATGTGGCCTTATCGAAGGGCGCCCTACATATACATGAGTCTGTCCGCATTATCTGATCTTGACCTGGTCTTATAGGAGTCAGCAGGTTCTCAAAATATGATGCCAGCTACTATTATTACGTCACACTGCAGGAAAGAATTAGTATGTTAAGACCTCAGCAATATCTATTAATGGTCATTAAAATGGTTGGTAAATTCAATTCCTACTAAAATTGAAACCTTATTAATAAGTAACAAACACTAACAGCCAAATTCATCTTCCCTAGATAAGCACCTCACCTTGACCTATTTCTATTTAATCATTGTAGTTGGACCGATCATATCAACTCAGATATTAGATCTCACCAAAGAGAATATTTTACGCAAATTTATAATTACTCTAAATGAAATCGTAATCGTCTTTGGACTCTGTATTTTCAAAATGACGACTAGATTTGGGATGATTGTACAAAACTACATCCTGACTTGCAGGAAACTTCCAATTAGAGGCTGCATGTATTGTTACCTTAAAATTACTACACTAACTAGAGGTGTGAAACTTTATCTTAAGAAAACATCATACAATCTATTTCATAAAATGGTCCATTGCCTCTCCATGAAATTCTTCCTTAAAAAGAGGTCCGACAGTGCTGAAAATTAAGCAATAAATATTCTTATGCAACGTTGTTGAAACCTTAACAAAAACTAATTGTTGTGATGGGAGAAAAGCATTTGCTGCCATTTTCTGGTATTCATCAGACAAATGACCAGTGTGGAGCGTACTAGTACTGACGTATGTAGGGTATGGGATTTTTCGGCCGCACCATTATCCTTTGTACACTAAAGCCGAAAATAGCGTGACGAGATAGTAAACAGATCATAGACCAACACAAATATACCAGATGGTAACAATGTACAGTAGTCAATTCGGCTACGATTTGTTTAGCACTTTGTCATAGATGTGCGAGAGTCAGTATCCAAATGGTTTCCTTAACCAACCGTCTGAAAAAATTGTCTTCCCTGTCGACTATTTTGGAATTTTACCAGTCAATGATATGATTTTGCTGTGTGGAATGATCTGTAAGTGCAGATTAATCGATCTGGGACTGTGGATGTTTTCACTCTGATCTAGTGATTTTTTGGCCCTTTTGGGATTCCGCGTCTTTCTGTTGTGCATTGAGTCGGCAGCAAATCTCCATATTTTTTCTCCGATATACGATCCATCGCATTTCTTGCATCCGATTTTGTAATCGCGTACTGCGACTCTTTCTTTGGGTGTTTTATCCTTAGGGTGGTCTAGGGTATCTCAGAGTGTCTTGTGAGGTTTCATGGCCGCTGTAAAGCCACGACCAGGGTAAATCCTTTGAATGGTTTCTGACAGGCCTATGATGCAAGGGGTGGTAACATGTCTTTCGTTTTGTTCTTTACCTTGTTTTTTCATCTCTTCGTCTTTTTTGCTTACATCAAATTCATTGTTTCTGGATTGTCCAATCAGTGTTACTCCGTGCTTTCAAGGCGCTATGGATGTGATTGCTTCTTGTCTTGTTCTTCTGTAACAACCTTTTCACTTCTGTTGAGCAATGTTCGTACAACGCCCAACGCCCGAAGTTGAGGTATTGGTCTGTGTGCGTTTTTATTTTCCTATAGACCAATAATTTGATAACACCGTCATTTTTCTTTACTAGGAAGGTGTCAAGAAATGACATAGCGCATTGATTTCTTCCTCACAGGTATCTGCGGTATTGATTTGCTCAGTCAAATCTTTTTTTTTTTTTTTTTTTTTTGTGACCCTTTTTTCACTATTTCCAATATGTCATCAACACACTGCTTCCACAGACTGGCCTTGTATTCTACGTGGGCCGTGGCTAAAGCCTCTTTCTCCAAGTGTTCTATGAATAACTTGACCTCGATCGGAGACAATGGGCTATCCATACTGTGAACTGTGTCAACCCGTTGCTGATAGATAGGGAGGCAAGGCATATTGTTGTTAGCACGAGTAGTAAATCCATGAGGTCTTGGATATGGAGATTGGTGTTATTTCGCAATGACCGGCCCTGCTCTTGGCGACTCCAAATGACACCGAGTGATTTGTCAGTGCGTGTGTTGGTGAAATGTGTGAAATGAATACCTGATCGTTTTGGATTAGTACTGTGGGCATACTTTCTGCAAGATCTTTCGAATTTTTGACCTAAGAACGTCTGCAAGTAACCTTGAGACATTGTAACCAATGGAACCAGTATAGTCCACTATAAGCCGTAATGGATTACCTTCTTTGTGGATCTTGAGTGTGCAGTATAGTCTAGGTGTGATCTCTGTAGTGGGATACAAGTGTCTATATTGTGATTCGGTGATCTTATTTTCTTGTTTTAGTTTTGATAGGACAGCTGCAAGGTGCTTTTTAAACTTTCGGATAGGGTTCTTCTTGAGTTTTTTTTTATATGTTTTGTTGTTAACGAGCATAGCCAAGTCTTCGTTCTCGTATTCGTCGATGTCCATCACGACTGTGTCTGCTGGTATAATCATGATAGTTCTGCCCTTGCTCAATTGCTTTAGTGCAATGCGTTCTACCTTTGATATGTACTTTACTGGTAATTTTGTAGATTTTAAGACGGCTGAAACTCGGACGATGTCATGATTCAAACCCTTAGCTATTAGTGTTTTATTATCTGTAAGCTGTTTGTTAGATATGTTAATTACCCACTTATAAAGCATTGAAATTCCCACCTGTTTTTGTGCTGTTATTAATATGTTTCTTAATCAGACGTTTCAACTTCGTCAAATGACCTCCTTTGGTCGTGCTGAAGACGGTTTCCTCTATACGCTTCACATGTGTGTTCAAGTAACCGAGAGTGGCACTCGATATCCGCTCGGTAGTTCTGGAGAGTGTCACTCATTAACCGCTCGGTAGTTCTGGAGAGTGTCACTCATTAACCGCTCGGTAGTTCTGGAGAGTGTCACTCATTAACCGCTCGGTAGTTCTGGAGAGTGTCACTCATTAACCGCTCGGTAGTTCTGGAGAGTGTCACTCATTAACCGCTCGGTAGTTCTGGAGAGTGTCACTCATTAACCGCTCGGTAAGCTTAGCGGTGAGTAGTGTTTTCTCGCTTTTCAATGCGTCATTTTTGTTATTAATAACGCGTATTCTTTCTCTCACTAGTTTTGGCTGCACTTTGCTAATGATCTTTTGGGCACTGATGGTATTAATCGGGATCTGATATTGAGATTTGAAGGTGTTATTCCTAAGTCCCTACATCACAGAGTGATTTCTGTCTCACTGGTCATTTGTCTGATGAAGGTGATCGTGTAGTCACACTCTAATCTTCTACTGGTTGTCTTATAAGAACTTCTATTCTATGGACTTTACCAACTTGAAGAAAATATTCCAATATAAACCAATATTTGTTTTGTTAAATCAGCCCTGTAGTGTAATACCTCTAATATGCAAACATTGACAATTTCATAAAAAGCGTGGAAATATTACAAATAAACAAACAAAAAAACATGTCAACATAATCATAATCTAAACTCAAATTTAACAAAACTAGGGGAAAATGTGAACAAAAGAAAAAATTACACGGAGACACCATGACAAAGAGAATAAGCACGCTTAACGCCCTTTATGTCAATGTTCAATTTCACAACCAATGAGAAGAGCGGAAAGCTATATCCTACTATCATACATATACCTAATCGTCAACACGTTAACATAATGACCTAAGAATGGAATAACACAAGGTTTGAAGCAGAAAGTGTAAAACAAACCTCATTCCCGAACCAAATCCTAGTGATCTTGACAATGTCTCGAGTAAGCAGATTAAGCTGGTTTCGTCCTCAATAAAAATCATACAAGATGCCTAACATAATTAAAAAGAAATCATTTTAAGACAGAAAGGTTTGCATACTTCCATCCACTGCGGGCTACGTGTGGAATGTTTTCCTTCATAAAGTGTAAAATACTCTGTGTCTATAACTAGAGAAATCTCACATTCTACATCGATCACACCTTCCCTCGAGGAAGGAACTGGCAATTCTATCTTTTTGACTTGTTTCCTTTTTATTCATACTAGCTGGTCTATCCTATTTAAAGTAATTCCTTTCTATTCCTTTCCCAGATACTGTAAAACTTTCCCTTGAGAAAAGAACAGAATGTAACATATTTCATTGAAAAGAAAACAAAGAATAACCTTAGTTATTTATGCAATACTTCATTGAAAATTCTAGAAACTTTTACATCATATTTTCAACCAGCACTTTGCAAACAACTGGGCACGTTAGTTCTGAAATCGCAGGCCTGAATGTTGACGTTGAAACTGAGGCCCGGAGGACAGGGCTGGCGGAACGCTAGGCCAAAGGAACATTGGTAGAAATAATCACAGTCCTGAGGATCGAGAAAGTATCCGTCGATTTTTCCAACACAATATTGGTTGATGTTACTTGCTGTAAAACCAGAAAACATTGCATCAAATTATTATTACATACATAGTTAAAATCACATAGGTTCGATATGGGCTGTCAAGGGTACCTGCAAAATGTTGTATTCTCATACAACTGTGTCGTCCTTCTAGGACTCGTCATTACTGGCCTAAATTGTTGATGATTAACCTTGTTTGATATCAAGATCACAAACCGATCGAGAACTACAAAATTTGATAAATTAATCTTTTTTTTATATATGTATTAAATGATTTCCAGTACAGGTTCGGCACCGTTCCGCTAATCAAATACCCTAAAACATGATGTTCACGTTACAACCATTCTCGAGAATTTATAGTCTACCATGAATTAAACCGCATCATTCAGCTGTATTGTCCGTCTAAGACTTGTAAGTGGTGCTATATCATACAGTTGTATCGTCTTTCTAGGACGCGTCAGTGATGCTGCATCATACAGCTGTATCGTCCGTCTAGGACTTTTCAGTGATGCTACATCATACAGCTGTATCGTCCTTCTAGGACTCGTCAGTGATGCTACATCATACAGCTGTATCGTCCGTCTAGGACTTGTCAGTGACGCTACGTCATTCAACTGTATCGTCCTTCTAGGACGCGTCAGTGATGCTACGTCATTCAGCTGTATCGTCCTTCTAGGACTCGTCAGTGATGCTACGTCATTCAGCTGTATCGTCCTTCTAGTACTTGTCAGTGATGCTACATCATACCGCTGTATCGTCTTTCTAGTACTTGTCAGTGATGCTACATCATACAGCTGTATCGTCCTTCTAGTACTTGTCAGTGATGCTACATCATACCGCTGTATCGTCTTTCTAGGACTTGTCAGTGATGCTACATCATACAGCATTATCGTCATTCTAGGACTCGTCAGTGATGCTACATCATACAGCTGTATCGTCCTTCTAGGACTTGTCAGTGATGATAAGGGGTTTAAGTTCCTGTAACCTTGAAGGATACGAGTAGCGTGAAATAATGTCATGAGTGAGAGATGCACTAACCCCATATGTTTTCAACATTTGACTATGTCTAAAGAATGAAGAGTGAGAGATGCACTAACCCCATATGTTTTCAACATTTGACTATGTCTAAAGAATGAAGAGTGAGAGATGCACTAACCCCATATGTTTTCAACATTTGACTATGTCTAAAGAATGTCAAAGAACATAGTCTGATGTAGATTCTGTTTCGAATCCTAATTATGACGTTTAATGGGCTGCCCATTAGGTCTAACGGTTGTAAACCGCTTCCCGGTAAACGTGTTCATTAACCATATATTATGCAGAAAGCGACAAATTATTGGAGTCTTTGCTATCACATGATCTACCAAGTAAACCAGTAAACAAGTAGTAATCAAGTAAACACAGATAACACAACAGCTTCGTAATATAATTAGGTATAGTTGACTTGGAAGGGAGGGACTCATACCTGGCGTGCTTGTTTGTGGTGCGTTAGTTGTCGGTGGGTAGGCTGGTTGAGCAGTATTGACACCTGGTTGCGCTGTTTGGAGCGGTTTAAATGTGGGTGGTGCATTAGTAGGGGACATTGTCGTTATGGAAACGACTGGTTTCTGTGTAACTGCTGGTGACTGACTTATATTGCAATGGACATTTCTGGGCCAATCACAAAAAGATGTTTTAGGATTAAACTGAAGACCCGGTGTACATGCTACTTCAAATGCGGTTCCGCCGGCACAGATGTAGTACTTTGAACAGTCGCTTGGACTTGGGTAAAAGCTGGGACTCCTGCCCGCACATTTGAAGGCATTCGTGGCGGAGATCGTATGTGAGGCTATTGAATTAACGAGGGACAAGTTAGGTCGTTTGTTCGTAAGGAACAATGAACTGTTTTATTCAACAACAAAATGATTAAAAAGTGTTATATACTTATTACAAATATGAATACAGATAACTTGTAAACGTAATATAAGAATCAAGTGAACTATTTGCTATGTGTACGGTTGTGTAGTTGTTATTAACTTACCGGCTGTTGTTGCCTGAGCTCCGGAAGTGACATGAACAGGGGGGTTTGTTTGTGGTGGAACAATCACTGGTGTTGTATGAACAGGCGCATGAGTTGCCACGGGTGCTTGTGTTTGTGGACTGCAATATACGTTATACGTAGTTATAAAACCTTTCTCCAAATAATTGATTAACATAAAAGCGTTGAATTTTTGACCTGTGGATGATGTTTTTGATTTTATCATAATTTTGAAATCAGTGTATTTCTAAAACTATGGGATACGTGAAAAAAAGGAAGATTAAAATGTGACGGCTCTCACTATAAATGTGGTAATGGAGTTATATATCTTGATTATTACGCCTCTTTCAATAAGTGTCTTTTATCACATCCCGATTACTTACTTGGTGGCGACCCCGCCCGTACCATGGCCTTGTAGTTCATTGTTTATTGTTTTCAAGAGTGGATATTTCCCTTGTCCACAGGATCCAGTGAAATCATCAAGGGCCAAATCCCAAACCATTACACCACCGTACTGCTCTCTCTTAACGAAATCGACCTGAATTGAAGCAACAAGGCTCATGAGAAATGCGTTTTTCATCTGATAATGTTATTCAATATCCAATTCAAATTCAAGTTAATAATTTAATGCTTCTTTGGTAAATATTAATACAATGTGCAACTTTGTAACATATCATAGATATTCAAATATACAAAATTAAAGAAAGATAAACCCTTTTCAGGCCTGAAGATGGCCACAAGGCCGGAAAACGTTAGCGATTTCATACGATTTTATTTGCCATGTTAATATTTTGATTATATATATATATATATATATATTAGAACCTCAAACTTTTACCCATCAGTATCCTTGAACTGCTCTAAAACCGACTGGTTACCTTTTTACGGAGACTTTCCTGGTCATCATAGCCCACCCACTGGTCTCCCTGGACGATGTAAGGCACTTCCTCTCCCTGTATCATGTGCTTCTGAGCGTTGGGAATCATTTTACAGATCTGGATTAAAACAATGGGATTCCTCAATGGTGAGATAGTTACAAAGAATACATCTTTATTGATTTAATTACATTTCGTAGTATGCGACGACTGTGGCAAAATTAATGATATAAATATGTCCAGTTTGGCAAAATATTTTCAAATTCTCTTTATGCATTCAGACACAGTTCCCTAAGTAACAAAGGAAAAAAAGGTTATGATGTTGATAAATATTGATCCTCAGTCTACAGTACAATGTAATTCTACTCTATATCATGCCCTCCTTTCCACTGTATTTGGGGTAGAATAATGTCATTGTCTTATTGACGTTAAGCTATGTCTATGACACCACTGTGGGTACATATATCTTGTGATCGATGAGCATTCATTGTCGTCATTTTCACCCAAATTCTGACGATGTTTCCGTGTCCACTGATACCAAGTGCGATTTCACACCCTGACGGGTATCACGTAATGAACAGATTACTTAAAATTCTCTCCTAAACTATGACGTTATATAACTGTCATCTACATGTGTTGCCATAATAACATCGTGTTGTCGTGATGCTTCAAGCGATTTCAAAATCTTTTTATTACGATAATCACAGCGAAATATATATTGTCCTTGTGTTTTTGAACAACGATATATTTTTCTATGTGTATTGATACTGTGATGTTTTTCCTTGTGTAAGAGCTCTATGATAACTTTTTATGTATTGCAACAGTTGTATATGTTGTCCTGGTGTATTGACAAAGTGGTATATGTTGTCCTGGTGTATTGACACTGTGGTATAAAATGTCCTGGTGTATTGACTCAGTGGTATATCTTGTCCTGGTGTATTGCTACAGTGGTATATGTTGTCCTAGTGTATTGACACAGTGGTATATGTTGTCCTGGTGTATTGACAAAGTGGTATATGTTGTCCTGGTGTATTGACACTGTGGTATAAAATGTCCTGGTGTATTGACTCAGTGGTATATCTTGTCCTGGTGTATTGCTACAGTGGTATATGTTGTCCTAGTGTATTGACACAGTGGTATATGTTGTCCTGGTGTATTGACAAAGTGGTATATGTTGTCCTGGTGTATTGACACTGTGGTATAAAATGTCCTGGTGTATTGACTCAGTGGTATATATTGTCCTGGTGTATTGACACACTGGTATATGTTGTCCTAGTGTATTGACACAGTGGTATATGTTGTCCTGGTGTATTGACACAGTGGTATATGTTGTCCTGGTGTATTGACACTGTGGTATACAATGTCCTGGTGTATTGACTCAGTGGTATATCTTGTCCTGGTGTATTGCTACAGTGGTATATGTTGTCCTGGTGTATTGACACACTGGTATATGCTGTCCTGGTGAATTGACACTGTGGTATATGTTGTCCTGGTGTATTGACACAGTGGTATATGTTGTCCTGGTGTATTGACACTGTGGTATATGTTGTCCTGGTGTATTGACACACTGGTATATGCTGTCCTGGTGAATTGACACAGTGGTATATATTGTCCTGGTGAATTGACACAGTGGTATATATTGTCCTGGTGAATTGACACAGTGGTATTTGTTGTCCTGGTGTATTGACACAGTGGTATATGTTGTCCTGGTGTATTGACACTGTGGTATATGTTGTCCTGGTGTATTGCTACAGTGGTATATGTTGTCCTGGTGTATTGACACTGTGGTATATGTTGTCCTGGTGTATTGACTCAGTGGTATATGTTGACACAGTGGTATATGTTGTCCTGGTGTATTGACACAGTGGTATATGTTGTCCTGGTGTATTGACACAGTGGTATATGTTGTCCTGGTGTATTGACACAGTGGTATATGTTGTCCTGGTGTATTGACACAGTGGTATATGTTGTCCTGGTGTATTGACACAGTGGTATATGTTGTCCTGGTGTATTGACACAGTGGTATATGTTGTCCTGGTGTATTGACACAGTGGTATATGTTGTGACACAGTGGTATATGTTGTATTGACACAGTGGTATATGTTGTCCTGGTGTATTGACACAGTGGTATATGTTGTCCTGGTGTATTGACACAGTGGTATATGTTGTCCTGGTGTATTGACACAGTGGTATATGTTGTCCTGGTGTATTGACACAGTGGTATATGTTGTCCTGGTGTATTGACACAGTGGTATATGTTGTCCTGGTGTATTGACACAGTGGTATATGTTGTCCTGGTGTATTGACACAGTGGTATATGTTGTCCTGGTGTATTGCTACAGTGGTATATGTTGTCCTGGTGTATTGCTACAGTGGTATATGTTGTCCTGGTGAATTGACTCAGTGGTATATGTTGTCCTGGTGTATTGCTACAGTGGTATATGTTGTCCTGGTGTATTGCTACAGTGGTATATGTTGTCCTGGTGTATTGACACAGTGGTATATGTTGTCCTGGTGTATTGACACAGTGGTATATGTTGTCCTGGTGTATTGCTACAGTGGTATATGTTGTCCTGGTGTATTGACACAGTGGTATATGTTGTCCTGGTGTATTGCTACAGTGGTATATGTTGTCCTGGTGTATTGATACAGTGGTATATGTTGTCCTGGTGTATTGACACAGTGGTATATGTTGTCCTGGTGTATTGACACTGTGGTATATGTTGTCCTGGTGTATTGACTCAGTGGTATATGTTGTCCTGGTGTATTGACACAGTGGTATATGTTGTCCTGGTGTATTGACACAGTGGTATATGTTGTCCTGGTGTATTGACACAGTGGTATTTGTTGGCCTGGTGTATTGACACTGTGGTATATGTTGTCCTGGTGTATTGACACAGTGGTATATTTTGTCCTGGTGTATTGACACTGTGGTATATGTTGTCCTGGTGTATTGCTACAGTGGTATATGTTGTACTGGTGTATTGCTACAGTGGTATATGTTGTCCTGGTGTATTGACACAGTGGTATACAATGTCCTGGTGTATTGCTACAGTGGTATATATTGTCCTGGTGAAATGACTCAGTGGTATATGTTGTCCTGGTGTATTGACACAGTGGTATATGTTGTCCTGGTGTATTGACACAGTGGTATATGTTGTCCTGGTGTATTGACACAGTGGTATATGTTGTCCTGGTGTATTGACTCTGTGGTATATTTTGTCTTGGTGTATTGACACAGTGGTACATTTTGTCCTGGTGAATACATACAGCTGTCTATTTGTCCTTGTGTATGGACATTGTGTTCTTTGTGTCTGGACACTTAAGTATAATTTGTTCTGTAGTGTATTGATCAGTGGTATAGATTTTGATCAAGATAGCAACGTGTCACAATTAGAAATTATTTACTTGTGATACCAAAAATGTTACCTCATAGTAAGCCAAGAAGCCTCTCTCCCTGGTATAGTGGCCAGCATTACCCCCTCCCCGAGCTGGGGCATTCACACCGTTGTTAGTCGGATCCTTTAGCGTAAAGGAGCGACCGTATAGAGGCATTCCGATGTTAAGCATACTCCTGGGCGATCCCCTCTTCACATATTCATGGGCAGCCCATTCCTGTTTGAAGCAATCAGATAATTTCTTGAATATGATCATTTGATTGTCAGATAATTGATAAAACCAACACCCATCAGAACATCAGGTTTTTTTTATCAAACGTTAATTGCATAGGGTATAAAATTAACACCTTGCACGTTTAAACTAACACTAACAATTAATGCAAGTGAAAGCCATTGTAAATGTTGATATGGGTAACTTCAATCACATAATCAAATAATACCCCAACACATGTAAAAACATTTTCCTGTCAACGTTAGTGATAATACGCTTCACCCAGGTCATTCGTCGTATGAAGGTGACAGTCATCCAACAACGTTATACCTCAGTACGGAGGAACATTATTATACATACCACATTCAAGTAGGCATCGGTGCCCGTATCCATCGGGCCCGCTTTTAGAGGACTGTTGTGGCCGGTGTGGTCATCAAACGCACCGTGCAGGTCATAGCTCATTAAGTTTATCATATCGATATACCTATATCAAAACAGGAAAAAGACAGATCGTCGAAATGGAATTGTAAAAAATAGTAATTAGTTGAAACCAGTCTGTAATATTCTGTCAATAACAAGGTATTCTTATTAACTTTGCTTTTTAAATAGATTTAGATATGAAGCTGGTAATTTTGTCTTGTCGGAGATTGGTCTCCTACAACGTGGCTGACCTCCATTTCGAACCTCTTTTACCATCGTTTCCGTTCTCTGTGTGAGTCCTATATACAGACTCCACTCCTTGTGTTTCTGTTCTGTGGACGTTAACTGACTATTGACAGTGTAACCCTGGTAACTACCAGTCACAATATACCATTCGGCAAGAGAAGCTTTCTATAGTTCGGCTGAGAGTCAAACTAGTAAGCAAGGGGTCTCGGGTTCCAATCCTAGCGGAGGCATTGAAATGAAGGATTTCTTACTTTGGCTATCATGTAGGGACACTGTAAGTAACATTGATCAACAGACATCGCTGTTAACCCTGGAAACTAGAGGACGAGTTATTTCCTGGATGGTGAGTATGTAACCATGGTAACTATTAGCCACAATATGCTTCACATCTAAAAAGAAACTCTCATTTGCTCGATAGGTTGAGCGTCAGACTAAATTTCAAGGAAAAAAGCGTCTTACTAGTTAGCAAGGGGTCCCGACTTCGAATAACCTTTATTACAGGGAGACGTCCTTCATTAAGTCTCTTCAGACGTAGTACACTTGGGTGATTTCAGGAAAAAATCAGGTAAAATAATTTTCTAGGATTATGAACATGGGCAGTGGATAATAACAGAAGTGATGTCAAAGTCATGCTAATGAAAAATCTTTAGAATCTATACTACCACTAACTTGACAATAGTAATGGTTCATGTGAATGTGACATAAAATGGTTTGCAAGTAGGTAGAGGTTTTCAAGTATACATTAATGTGATATATGATATGGTAAGACAATGTCTAGTACAATGTTGGATGTATTCTCATGAAAACATAATGTTTTCCACTAACGTAAATAATAACATAATTTTTGTAAGTAAATGGAATAAGGAAAAAAACACCGATATATGTGAGTGGTTAACTAGTTTCAGGTCTCCATCCATCAACCTGCCTGGTTTTGGTGACCCGTATTTGTGTGGTAAACTCCTTGTCTAGTCTCTATCCAGTTTCTAGTTTGGGTGACACGTATTTGTGTGGTAAACTCCTTGTCTAGTCTCTATCCAGTTTCTAGTTTGGGTGACCCGTATTTGTGTGGTAAACTCCTTGTCTAGTCTCTATCCAGTTTCTAGTTTGGGTGACCCGTATTTGTGTGGTAAACTCCTTGTCTAGTCTCTATCCAGTTTCTAGTTTGGGTGACCCATATTTGTGTGGTAAACTCTTTGTCTAGTCTCTATCCAGTTTCTAGTTTGGGTGACCCGTATTTGTGTGGTAAACTCCTTGTCTAGTATCTGTGTGTTGAACTCCTTGTCTAGTCTCTATCCAGTTTCTAGTTTGGGTGACCCGTATCTGTGTGTTGAACTCCTTGTCTAGTCTCTATCCAGTTTCTAGTTTGGGTGACCGGTATTCGTGTGGTAAACTCCTTGTCTAGTCTCTATCCAGTTTCTAGTTTGGGTGACCCGTATTTGTGTGGTAAACTCTTTGTCTAGTCTCTATCCAGTTTCTAGTTTGGGTGACCCGTATTCGTGTGGTAAACTCCTTGTCTAGTCTCTATCCAGTTTCTAGTTTGGGTGACCCGTATTTGTGTGGTAAACTCCTTGTCTAGTCTCTATCCAGTTTCTAGTTTGGGTGACCCGTATTTGTGTGGTAAACTCCTTTTCTAGTCTCTATCCAGTTTCTAGTTTGGGTGACCCGTATTTGTGTGGTAAACTCCTTTTCTAGTCTCTATCCAGTTTCTAGTTTGGGTGACCCGTATTTGTGTGGTAAACTCCTTTTCTAGTCTCTATCCAGTTTCTAGTTTGGGTGACCCCAGATGGCTAAACATAAACTGCAAACAAAGTACATGGCCTGAAGAAGCTTGCACTACAGTACAATAACACGGGTCACCCAAACCAGCCAGGCGAATGGATAAATGGTGCGCACACTTAAAGAGCTAGAGTTGACACCAAATGGTCTTGTCTTCATCTCATAGATTAAAGCATTTGTAACAAATGACTGCATTATTATGATCGATTGGTATATGCCTTCTTCTTAAAGAAGTGCACAAGGAAAATAATGGTTGGCAACCTTTCGGGACACCTTTTTTCCGGAGCATACACGAAATATGCTACCTGACCCAACACAAGCCATGTTTCTGCTATAAAATGTGTGTATGAATTATATTTACGAATACACAAGTTGACTCTGCCTTTTGTTGTCAGCTATGCCTAAGGTATATGGTATTCAGGTGTTCATTTAGTACTGGTCTTATTTTACATATCAAATATAAAGTATAGACATTCACAAGGCTTGTCTTTTGGCAGGTATTCATTTGAATAATACATGTGGAGGCACAATGAGAAATGACACCAAGTTTTACTCATATGAATAATTACTTAAAATGTTTACATGTTGTTCAACAAAGATCAATATAGTTAATATTTAAGTCACAATTAAAGAACTGTTGATAACAATGTAATATGTTTAGATGTTGTTCAACAAAGACCAATTTAGTTCGTATTTAAGTCCCAATCAAACAACTGTTGATAACAACATGATATGTTTAGATGTTGCTCAACAAAGACCAATTTAGTTAAAATTTATGTCCCAATCAAACAACTGTTGATAACAACATGATATGTTTAGATGTTGCTCAACAAAGACCAATTTAGTTAATATTTATGTCCCAATCAAACAACTGTTGATAACAACATGATATATTTAGATGTTGCTCAACAAAGACCAATTTAGTTAATATTTAAGTTCCAATCAAACAACTGTTGATAACATTTGGATACTGACTTACAACATAAAGAGACATTGGCTTGTTTAGGGTTAATACATTGTTATACAGAACGTGATGTGACGGGCTGATTTTTCTCGTCTTCTATGTGAACAATCTTTGCAGACCAATATTATCTAAGTGTATTAATTGACAATTATTATTTAAATACTGGAAACACGCAACAAATATTAAGATTTGATAAAAAAAAAGATAATGAAAAAGTATGCTGTTGAGGCTATTACTGATTAATAGAACCATTGTGTTTTTTAATTAACAACAAACTATAAATGCACATTATAATGATCAAATAATTATGTTTCTATGTTGTGCATTACCCTTTTAATCATTTTTTTTTCGAACTCGAGACGCTATCCTCAAATCCAAACGTTTACAACATTACAATAGTATTTGTTGATTGAAAACATTTTTCTTGAATTTCATTTTAAATTTTGCATGGTTATAGAAAGCATACTGAAACTAATGTGTAAGTAAATAAAAATGGTTTTGAAAATATTACAAATACGTTATTTTCCCTCTTAAAATAAATGTATACCAATATACCAATTTAATTAAATTTAACTAAAAATGTTTCAGAAAGGTAACGAAATAAAAATTTATTACACATGACTAGTATACTGAATATGTGGGCCCTTTGGGCCTTTAAATCGAAAAATGAAAATTTAAGTGTATATATTGTACTGCCATTTGTAGTACCACAAACACTCATAATTTAAAGAAATTCGGGTGTGGGTGGTTTCTATGGGAAATATAAGATTTTCTGGAGCCCAACCTTTGCTATGTTGGTGCACTATGACATTTCTGACATTTAATTGGCCAATTATTGAATATGAAACAAAATAAGCTCGGTGACGTTTGCGGACGTACTTGATAATTTGGGGGATATCGTAACCTGTGTCGATCTTGTCCTTTCCCGCCCCAAAAGCCGCTGTCAGCAACAGTCGCGGCTTACCAGACGATGCTGCTTCAGCGTCATACGCCTGACGTATTACCTGCGAATATAAACTTTCATATTAATTTTCTTAAGACTCCAGTATGCCTTGGTCGTTTAAAATCTTTATTCGTCATACACTTTGGTCTAGACTAAATATGTTGCCGTTAATCGTTGCGAAACGAATAGCAAATAGAATTTTAAAAAATGGTACTCGAAAACATGCTAAAGAAACGTATACTTTGATATCGAACCATGGATGGTTCTAATGCATTTATACAGCGTTCGACATCTGATATATTATATACATACATCAATAAACTATACACAAGCAATTGCAATTGAAAGTACAATCATTATCATCAATTATAATTATTGCATAAATTATTAATCGCAAATTCATTTCTCTCCAATAGATTTTATGTCATGAGTGCGATTTTGAGACATGAATAAAGGGTATAGACACGCTTTATTGATAAATAGCCTATTTTCTTGTCTTATGGAACGAGACTAGTTTAAGTTTATTTCTTGTTTTGTCAATTCTTAAAGAACGTAATATTATTGAATTTGACCTGAAAATTACTGGTGCTGTCGGGATATTGAACATTTTTGTAGATGTCATGTTCTTGCAACTGACCTTAAGAAGTTCGACGAAATTTTGTTTGTCTTGAGGAACGCCCCCTCTGTTGGCCGGATATTCCCAGTCTAGGTCAAGGCCATCAAAGTCGTGTGTTCGCAGGAATTTGATGGTGTCCTGGGCAAAATCTCGTCGACTTGCATCGCTAGCTGCAATCCTTGAAAACGGCGCTGACCCCATATTCCAGCCTCCGACAGCTAGTAGGGTCTTCAAGGCTTGATTTTGTTTCTTCATTGCATTAAATCGTTCGTACCTGAAGCGGGAATTTAAAAAAAAAATTGTCAATTATAGTTAAGGAAAGAGCAGGCAATGTAGCAAACAGTGCTCGGAGGACACAGTTAAAGATTTTTTTAATCCCGGCTATACGTACATGCCTTTTGACCACGGAGTACTCTCATCGTTCCACTCAAAGGCCTTCAAGTGATTGCCATTTAGAGTGGCGAAGGCATAGATGATATGTGTACAGAGTGTGGAGTCGATGCTCTCGGGATAGAATTTACCAGGGCTCTGTCTGTATTGTGACCAGTTAGTATGATAACACACACGGCGGTAGGCGGCACCACCCACTGAAATAACATTGAGTAGCTAATGTAAAGCCAAAACGAAACAATATGTTTACTGACAAAACAACTAAAACGTTTAGCTATGACATATCATGACCCTTACAGGAAACCGGAAGTAGCTACGAATGAATATTTTTCAAAATGTTCAATTTCAATTAATGACTATTTGAATTAAATATAATCAAATCTGCAGCTTGGTTTCACCATAATTTGCTAGCACGAAGGTTTTACAGGTAATTAAAAAGAGAATGCGAATTTGAACAGTTTGTGTTTGGCTTAGCACTGAAATAGAAATGACAGTATGGCGGCATGTTGACTTTAAATGCTTTATTGCAGTTAACCCGGGTCTTGCTTACGAACATTTAAAACATTTACAGATTGTTATATTAAAATATGTGGGATTGATTGAAAAAGAAACATGTGCTGTGAGAGCTTTACCACGTTTAATTTTGAACACTCTGATATCATTTACCTGTCAATGCCGCCAATAGACACACAAATCGTAACATCTGAAACAAATATAAGGTTTGTTAATGTAGGTATTGATATTCACCCTGTTACTGATCAAATTGTAGTGATCAATCACTTTACCGTCATCCTTGATCTGGTCAATGTATAGGTAAACCACTTTACTGTCACCTTGTTACTCGACGATGTATAGTTACACAGTTACATCACTACTGTGATTCTGGAACTGGTCAATGTATAGTTACACAGTTTTATCACTACTGTAATTCTGGAACTGGTCAATGTATAGTTACCCAGAGAAATCCCTACTGTGATTCTGGAACTGGTCAATGTATAGTTACACAGTTATATCACTACTGTAATTCTGGAACTGGTCAATGTATAGTTACACAGTTACACAGTTACATCACTACTGTGATTCTGGAACTGGTCAATGTATAGTTACACAGTTATATCACTACTGTAATTCTGGAACTGGTCAATGTATAGTTACACACTTATATCACTACTGTAATTCTGGAACTGGTCAATGTATGGTTACACAGTTACATCACTACTGTGATTCTGGAACTGGTCAATGTATAGTTACACAGTTACATCACTACTGTGATTCTGGAACTGGTCAATGTATAGTTACACAGAGAAATCCCTAATGTGATTCTGGAACTGGTCAATGTATAGTTACACAGTTATATCACTACTGTGATTCTGGAACTGGTCAATGTATAGTTACACAGTTATATCACTACTGTAATTCTGGAACTGGTCAATGTATAGTTACACAGTTATATCACTACTGTGATTCTGGAACTGGTCAATGTATAGTTACACAGTTATATCACTACTGTGATTCTGGAACTGGTCAATGTATAGTTACACAGTTACATCACTACTGTGATTCTGTACACAGTTATATCACTACTGTGATTCTGGAACTGGTCAATGTATGGCTACACAGTTACATCACTACTGTGATTCTGGAACTGGTAAATGTATAGTTACACAGTTATATCACTACTGTGATTCTGGAACTGGTCAATGTATGGTTACACAGTTACATCACTACTGTGATTCTGGAACTGGTCAATGTGTAGTTACACAGTTATATCACTACTGTGATTCTGGAACTGGTCAATGTATGGCTACACAGTTACATTACACAGTAAATGTATATCACAGTTATATCACTACTGTGATTCTGGAACTGGTCAATGTATGGTTACACAGTTACATCACTACTGTGATTCTGGAACTGGTCAATGTATAGTTACACAGAGAAATCCCTACTGTGATTCTGGAACTGGTCAATGTGTAGTTACACAGTTATATCACTACTGTAATTCTGGAACTGGTCAATGTATAGTTACACAGAGAAATCCCTACTGTGATTCTGGAACTTGTTAATGTATAGTTACACAGATCAATCACTTTACTGTCACCCAGAAACTATATTCTCCCGTTTTGATGTAATATAGTCGATGTAATTAGAACGATTACAGAACAGTATATGATCGCGTATGTATAGAAAGTTTGCGAGCCGCTTATCAGTTTATATTATCCCTGTCATGTTGCTAGGATGTAACTGCAATGACCAATGTGACAGCAGTATTTAACGTGTCCTTGCAGCAAAGACTTTCTAGTTATGCTCAGGCTTATGAAAAGTGTTGCTTTTATTTGAAACTTCTAAACATCCTTTCCACAGGGATATTTCGAGGATATTATGTTTCAAGGTGTCGTAATGCAATGAAAGATGGAAGACTTTGATCGAATAAGCAAAAGGACACATATACACCTGAACAAACATTTCCGGGTACCTCGACAACGCTATACAGAGTGAACATCTCCATGTTGATCCTAATGTAAATGTAGATAGCAAAATGCATGCTGATTTGTACCCGTCTTCAACTTGGTGTTACAACGTCGTCTGAACGAACATTTTTCGATACTGAAGTTATAAATGGAGATATTTTTATTTTGAGTATATGGCCAACGAAGAAATTCTGGAAGTCATTGACCGAGATGCCACGCTTAACGCAAATTCAGAGGGGTAGAGCAATTGCGATCTTGAAGGATGGTCATAGCGTTGCCCGTGTACAATTAACCGTCTCTATACACGTTTCCATGCTACTGGGTTAGTTTTCGATCGTTCCAGGAGCGGTCGTTCAAGACTGCTGTAGAGACTGCGTCAAATACCTTAGGTATTCATGGCAGACCCATTATTGCTCAAACTGCCAGGAACCGCTTGAGTGCTGAAAGAATCATTGCGCGCCGACCTTATGTCAGGTCTACCTCTGACACCAGAAGGGGACAAGTGCGTCTTGACTGGATGCTCAGACATGGCCAATTAAGTTTGGGATTCGTCTGTGGAACCGTGTGATGTTCACCGACGAGTCTAAATTCCATCTATATATCGCAGACGCGGTGAGCGTTTCGCCGATGCATGCGTGATTGAACGCGATAGATTTGTTAGGGCTTCTGTAACGGTTTGTGGAGGCAGCTCCCATGGAATAACCCCCCATCCCACCCCACCCCACCCACCCTCCTTAGTTGTCCTGATTCCAAACCTCATTGCCGTTCGATACAGAGACCAGATCCTGCAACCATAAGACTTTCAACTACTGAGACGTCATAACCTATGTTTTCAGCAAGTCAATGCTCGACCGCATGTTACCAGAGGCAAACAACATTCAGCCTCTAGAATGGCCCCTTTATAGCCCCGACATGTCTCCCATTGAACATCTGTGGGGATGAGCTGGACAGGCGTATTTTTAATGTACTTACGGTGTTTCGTTTGACTGGAGGTACTCACTGTGTTTTGTTTGACTGGAGGTACTTACGGTGTTTTGTTTGATTGGAGGTACTTACGGTGTTTCGTTTGACTGGAGGTACTCACGGTGTTTTGTTTGACTGGAGGTACTTACGGGTTTCGTTTGTCTGGAGGTACTTACGGGTTTCGTTTGACTGGAAGTACTTACGATGTTTCGTTTGACTGGAGGTACTTACGGTGTTTCGTTTGTCTGGAGGTACTTACAGTTTTTCGTTTGACTGGAGGTACTTACGGTGTTTTGTTTGACTGGAGGTACTTACGGTGTTTTGTTTGACTGGAGGTACTTACAGTTTTTCGTTTGACTGGAGGTACTTACGGTGTTTTGTTTGACTGGAGGTACTTACAGGTTTTCGTTTGACTGGAGGTACTTACAGTTTTTCGTTTGACTGGAGGTACTTACAGTTTTTCGTTTGACTGGAGGTACTTACGGTGTTTTGTTTGACTGGAGGTACTTACGGTGTTTCGTTTGACTGGAGGTACTTACGGTGTTTTGTTTGACTGGAGGTACTTACAGTTTTTCGTTTGACTGGAGGTACTTACGATGTTTCGTTTGACTGGAGGTACTTACGGTGTTTTGTTTGACTGGAGGTACTTACGGTGTTTTGTTTGACTGGAGGTACTTACGGGTTTCGTTTGACTGGAAGTACTTACGGTGTTTCGTTTGACTGGAGGTACTAACGGTGTTTTGTTTGACTGGAGGTACTTACGGTGTTTTGTTTGACTGGAGGTACTTACGGTGTTTTGTTTGTCTGGAGGTACTTACGGGTTTCGTTTGACTGGAGATACTTACGGTGTTTCGTTTGACTGGAGGTACTTACGGTGTTTTGTTTGATTGGAGGTACTTACGGTGTTTCGTTTGACTGGAGGTACTTACGGTGTTTTGTTTGATTGGAGGTACTTACGGTGTTTCGTTTGACTGGAGGTACTTACGGTGTTTTGTTTGACTGGAGGTACTCACGGTGTTTTGTTTGACTGGAGGTACTTACGGTGTTTTGTTTGACTGGAGGTACATACAGTTTTTCGTTTGACTGGAGGTACTCACGGTGTTTCGTTTGACTGGAGGTACATACAGTTTTTCGTTTGACTGGAGGTACTCACGGTGTTTCGTTTGACTGGAGGTACTCACGGTGTTTTGTTTGACTGGAGGTACTTACGGTGTTTTGTTTGACTGGAGGTACTTACGGTGTTTTGTTTGACTGGAGGTACTTACGGTTTTTCGTTTGACTGGAAGGTACTGGAGGTTACGGTGTTTTGTTTGACTGGAGGACGGTGTTTTGTACTCACGGTGTTTTGTTTGACTACGGGTTTCGTTTGAGGTACTTACGGTGTTTCGTTTGACTGGAGGTACTTACGGTGTTTTGTTTGACTGGAGGTACTTACGGTGTTTCGTTTGACTGGAGGTACTTACGGTGTTTTGTTTGACTGGAGGTACTTACGGTGTTTCGTTTGACTGGAGGTACTTACGGTGTTTTGTTTGACTGGAGGTACATACAGTTTTTCGTTTGACTGGAGGTACTTACGGTGTTTTGTTTGACTGGAGGTACATACAGTTTTTCGTTTGACTGGAGGACGGTGGTTTGACTGGAGGTACACGGTGTTTTGTTTGACTGGAGGTACGGTGTTTTGTTTACTGGAGGGTGTTTTGTTTGGAGGACGGTGTTTTGTTTGACTGGAGGTACTCACGGTGTTTTGTTTGACTGGAGGTACTTAGTTTGACTGGAGGTACTTACGGTGTTTTG